CTTTAATCTGCTGCTCCTGGACTTCAGAGGTTCTCTTTAGATGTTCTGGTGTAACAGATGTTGTCGTTTGTTGCTGTTCCAGCTGTTCTGTTGGTTTCCACTCTGACGTTGGCCTCTTGTCCTGTAGCGCCACCAGCTGGTCGACTTTGAGTAAAATGAATGATTTAGAAGAGCGACGTTGCACCAACCATAACGGTCGTCTGTAGGGAAGCTCTCTGGGCTTGTTTTTATTTTCTAAGTCTATTCTTTTACCTTTCATGTTTGTTGCTGGTTCTGTTGGTTCTGGAGCTCTGAGTTGTTCCTCACATGTGTGGGTTCATCATCCAGCTCAGTCCAGCATCATAAAGTTTGCTTAGTTTGTTCTGACTTGTGCTGTTTGTGCAGAAGACGTTGGATTAAACATGTTAGCGTGCTCATGTTAGCATTTAGCTCAAACCCCTGGTACGATAAAGAAGCAGCTGACGTGGCTGCAAACTGAACCGGAGCAGAGAAACAGAGCTGCTGCTGCTGCATCGTGTCTGTTGTTGTGTCCAGGACCACCACGACATGCTGCTGGAGATCGAGAGGGACAAGGCCATCACAGACAAGGTCATCCTCATCCAGAAGGTGGTCCGAGGCTTCAAAGACAGGTGGGCTTTAAGACTCGCTCTGTGTCCCTCATGTGAGCAGAAAACAGGCTGATCTCTTTGTTAGTTAGTTTGTGTGTCTGTAAACCTGTTGATCAGATCCTGAGTTAGTTGTAGTTCTACATTTTAATTTATAAATTAATAAATCCTCGACACAGAGACAGAATCCGTCTGATAGCAGAGTTCAGTTTGTTGCCTCCAGCTGTTTGCAGGAGTCTTTCCTCTGAGTTTATTAAACATCTGCAGCATCACACAGCAGCAGGATGAAAATGAGCGTCTCCACAGAAACAGAGACATCTGCACGTATTTCCTTCTTTCAGATCCAACTTCCTGAAGATGAGGAAGTCGGCCGTGTGGATCCAGAAGACGTGGCGAGGGTACCAGTGCAGGAAGAACTACGGAGCTGTGAGCGGCGGCGTCTCAGAGTTTTACGTCAGAAATACAAACGTCAGAGACTAACTGAGCCTTCTCCTCTCCTCCCTCCAGATGCGAGCAGGCTTCTCTCGCCTCCAGGCTCTGGTTCGCTCCAGGAAGCTGAGTGCGTCGTACCACGTGGCCCGTCAGAGGATCACGGGCTTCCAGGGCCGCTGTCGGGGCTTCTTGGTTCGCCGGGCGTTCAGGCACCGGCTGTGGGCCGTCATCACCATCCAGGCTTACACCAGAGGGATGATCGCCCGCCGGCTGTTCAAGAGGCTCAAGGGAGAGGTAGAGACGCTGACGAGTAGAACAGAGAGCAGCAGGACACTGAGCTGTAATAAGGTTCTTCTACGTTCCAGCTCTCAGCGGGCGACGTCGTCCTGCAGCTCTTATTTATTCACTGAGGACATGAAGATGTTAAAGTCTTTCTTTGCAAATCAAACTGTGAAATTTGAATAGTTTAAACGTTCTCACACTTATACTGGTCGAACAAAAATTGAATATCGACATCAGTAACATCTGTTATCGGCGATATCAGAAATGTTAATATCAGATATCGGTATCGGCCAGAAATGTTAATATCGTGCATCACTGATTGTAATATTATTATATTATACTTGAACATCAACTCACGGTTCTGCTGCACGACATGTTTTTACTTTAAATGCTGATGTCAGTGCAGGACTTTAAATACCAACAAGTTTGAAATTAAAAATGAGTTATTTCCTTATTTCTAGAGCTTCAGTCTTTACTTGTTAAGTAATTCAATCCAGCAAAGTTCCTCCTGTGACTTTAACGGTATAATTACGTCATTATTACTCATTTATTTATCGTAAAGCAGGTTTTTCTTGTCGTACTTCGTTTATGTGAGACTCTTTTTCAACTATTTAGTCTTCAGCTGCTCTGACATGTAGGAAAGTAGAAGTAAAAAGACTCAAGTCAGGTACCTTAATTAGTACTTTAATAAGGTCCCGTTCAGGCTCTCACCGAGGTGTTTACTTCAGTTCTCTGCTGTTTAATTCTGAGCCATGGGGTTGTTTTGGTGTCTAGTTGTACTTTTTTAACAACAGAATTAATGATGTTTGTGTTCCTTCAGTACCGTCGGCGGCTGGAGGCCGAGAAGATGCGTCTGGCTGAAGAAGCCAAACTGAGGAACCAGATGTCGGCGAAGAGAGCGAAGGCTGAAGCCGAACGCAAACACCAGGTGAAGCATTCCCACGTTTAAAGACCTCAAACTTCTGTCTGGAGTTTCCTTTATTGGTGGTTTCACCTCAGATCATCAGGCTCCTGTTGCTCAACCGACTGATCAACTTTTTTACCATAAACTCTGAACATTTGGCATCTGGAAGTTTTAGCTTCTGTCAAATGTTTTGGGAGATTTAAAAAAAAAAAAATTTGAATCACCCGTCGACCAACTTCCAGCAGATTTTTCACACTTTGAAATCTGTTTGTATCTCAGGAGCTAATCTAGGAGCCTGATTGCAGCTCTGCAGATTTCTATAAACAATGTCTGACTGGTTTTTCACTGTAAACCTGCAGCTGGTTGTGTGTTTACACGGTGAAGGACCTGATGGTCCAGGAGGAATCCCATCGTTGTGTCCATGAAGTTTAACTCAGAGAGAAAGACTTAATCTGGCTGCTTCAGTTCAGCTCAGATTTTTAGCTTTTTGAAGCTTTGTCTCCGTTTGCTCTGTAAAAACATCCTGTTGTTGCAGTTAAAGCGGTCCATGTACAGCTGATGTTGTTGTTAATATCATATCACTGTTTCACACCAACGTGACGCTCGTGTTTTCCAGGAGCGTCTGGCCCAGCTGGCCAAAGAGGACGCTGAGCGGGAGAAGAAGGAGAAGGAGGAGGCTCGGAGGAAGAAGGAGATGGTGGAGCAGATGGAAAAGGCTCGACAGGAGCCCGTCAACGACTCCGACATGGTGGACAAGATGTTCGGCTTCCTGGGAACGACCAGCTCCTTCCCCGGTCAGGAGGGACAGGCGCCTGCTGGCTTTGAGGTGAGACAACAACACTCTGAACACACTGGACCAAATGAAGCTTCGTCTCCTGAATGTTTGAGGCTCAGAACACTCTGAACCCACAACGTGTCGTCTGTACATACAGACACTCTGAGGCCTCGTTACATCAGCGCTCTGTTCTTCCTGTGCAGAAAGGGCTTTACAAACAGAGACTGATTGGTTGATAGTTAGATTTGAGAGAGAGAGAGCTGCACCTGGATGCTTAGAGGATTTGAAAACATTCAAGACTCTCCAGGTTTTAGCAGCTAGAGACTGAAGTTGTGGCTTCTCTGCAGGACCTGGAGCGAACCCACCAGGAGCTGGAGGAGGAGGACCTGGACGAAGCTCTTCCTCTGCCTGAGGACGATGAAGAGGAGGATTTATCCGAGTACAAATTCGCCAAATTTGCCGCCACCTACTTCCAGGGAACCACCACCCACACCTACGTCCGCCGGCCGCTCAAACAGCCGCTGCTGTTCCACGATGACGAAGGCGATCAGCTGGTAGGACACATCTGGATTTGTTTTTTGTCTGAGCCTGCTGTTGCTTTCCACCGTCCCACACCTCGTCTCTACCATCCCAGTATCATGAGCTAATAGCAAAATAGCCAGAAAAATACTTTAAACTGAAGCTAATTAATAAGAAATAATAAAATGGCTCCAAAACGCAGCGTCGAGTCTCCACTGATCAGCTCTCAGTGCTCTATAACTGGTTGATGTTGTCTGAACTGCTGCAACAGCGCCTGAGTCTTACAGGCAGGATCACTGGTAAAAACTCATGTTGTGGGATTCTTTCAAGTGACTGTTCAGTCCTTATGAAGAAGACCAGCCTTTGTGTAGAGAACATTCCCTGATAAATGCCTGACTGCTCCCTGCTGCTGCTGCTCAGGCTGCCCTGGCCGTGTGGATCACCGTGCTGAGGTTCATGGGGGATCTGCCGGAGCCTAAATACCACACAGCCATCAGCGACGGAAGCGAGAAGATCCCCGTCATGACCAAAATCTACGAGACGCTGGGAAAGAAAACCTACAAGAGAGAGCTGCAGGCGCTGCAGGGGGAGGGAGAGGTGAGGATTTATGTCGTTAACACATCGTTAGCTGGAGCTGCTCTCAGATTTCACTCTGATGAATCTGTCTGATGACAAAGTTTCATCAACAGAAGATGACGTCCCTACCGTTCTTCTAGCATCACCATGAGGCCACATTTCTCTTTTGTTTACGATATCCTTCTTTTATCATCTGGAAAAGATGAAGAACAGGAAAAACACACATAACTGGACAAGACAAACAAAACAGACGCCATCACTGAGTTTAAAAACATGTTGAGTGATTCCAAAAGTCCAACACAAGATAGTTTCCGACCATAAAATTGTTTAATTTGTCTTTTTTTTGAGTACATCATAATTTAGTCTCAGTAGAAATCCTTAAAATGCAAGTAAATATTCACATATAAACTATTCTTAGTTCCACCAAAAATCTAAAATACTTTGCAGCCATTGTGGTGCAAAAAAATGAACATGTTGGAAGAGAAACGATCCCTAATTAATGAGCTAATTATCTTAATTAGGAAGAAACTGATGCTACAGTAACTAAACAACAGAAGTACTGAAACGTACTGAAGACTTAGAATGAGGTAATACAAATATTTGTACTATGTGACGTGAAAAATACACAATATAGAAAATATACAGTTAAATGTCCAAACTCACATATCGACAGTCTCAATATAACCAGATAGAAATAGAGAAAAAGCTCGTATATAGCGCCTCCATGTGGGCGTTATCCAGCTGCACTCAGTTTCACCTCAGGCTGGTTTGAAATCCACAAACATCTCCTTCATCCTCATGTTAGGTTGTAGATGTTTGCACCGGTCCACAAAGTACGACTACGTGGGTTTTTGCAGTGACTATTAAATTATATTCAGCTGGTTTTATAGTCGTGATTAAACGGTCCGTCTCTTTTCCGTCCACGTTCTCAGCGTGTCGTCTCTTGTCTCGTTGTGCCTCCAGACGCCGCACTCCGACAGCCACAAGAAGAACAGCGTCCGACACAAGCTGGTGTCGCTCACGCTGAAGAAGAAGTCCAAGATCACCGAGGAGGTGAGAGACGGTCGGATGTTCTAGAACCTGGCCTGGTTTCTGTCAGTTTCTTCTCTCGGTTGTTGCGGGACTAAAACAAAAAAAAAATAAAAGCTGCATTTTGGTGCCTTTCAGGTCACGAAGCGCCTCAATGACGGCGAGTACGGTCTCCACGGCAACAGCATGCTGGAGGACCGGCCGACGTCCAACCTGGAGAAACTTCACTTCATCATCGGCAACGGCATCCTGAGACCGGCACTGAGGTAAACAAACAAATAAACAAAGGTTCCTGAACCGACATATCACTGATGTAAACTCATTGTGTTCAACAGTACAGCAGTTCAATGTGTTGTTTAGATGTTTATGTATGTATGAAAGAAAAAAGTCACTTCTTTACTGTAAAACAACAATATGAACATTTATATGAATGAGTTTGCAAAGAAAATGTATTCACACATTTCTATGTAGTGAAATGTGTTTATAAAGAACATTAAAACCAGATTCAGCGTTTATGAAGCTACTGAATGTAAAACTTTGTGAAATATACCAGCAGGAATCCTTAAATTGTTCAACATGCAGATTTAAAATCAAAAATCTGTTTTGTTTTGTTTTTTTTCACTTCAACTTTCTTTATTTGGACGGGACAGTGCACATTAATGAACATACAATCTCAACTTGACTTAGAATTGCTCTTAAATTCCAGAGAAAGCTGTTGTTCACTTTGGTTTTCTTTTACTTTTACTGTTTACTTGGATGCTGCCTGTTGTTCACGGCGTGTTATTTGCTGCTGGAGATATTAACAATGTCCCTTATATAACAGAATTAAACTATCATGGAGGAAATGTCAGGATTTCTTTTACTGACTGAGTAACAGGGCAGAGGCAGCACAAAGTGTGATTAATTACCTAAAAGCTGACATTTCACTGTCAGGTCGAGGTGATAAATGTCTCGTTCTTCAGTTTCAGGGAGGAAATATTTACCGACTCGCTTCAGTAAAACAGAACAAAGTGTTTTAATGCTCCGGCTTTTGGTATTTATGAGCTAAGTGCTTCATCATGTGTTTGTAAATGTCACATGGCTGCTGTGGGAGTTTTTTAGAGCTTCATCAGTGAAACCATCCTGTAGACGGACAAACGCTTTTATATTTAGTTGTTTATTTGTTGATTTCATTCTTATTCCCACATGATAAAGAGATTATTTTGATGAACCACGTGGCATTAGTTATAGTCTGAAACACTTCAATCCTACAAGCTTCTAAGTCGACTCTGTAAGAGACGTGATNACTTCAATCCTACAAGCTTCTAAGTCGACTCTACAAGAGACGTGATGTTATTTTATCTTTATTCTTTAATTAGGTGGTTAGTTGACAGAGAATTGAATTAAATGTTTTTATTTATAAAAAGATCAGATTTTTGAGGACTTTCTTAACCTTTGTTAACCAAGCAGCTACCGTTAAATTCGAATTTTCCTCAAGACAAAAGTGACATTGAGAGTGACAACAAAAGAGAGACTGAGGAAGTGACGAAGTGATTCTGAGGCTGTTCAGTTCCGACACTGAAGAAGACGACTTCAGTGGTTTCAGTGCAGGAGGAAGATGAAGATAGTGATCAGTGACTTTTCTTGGTAGGCTGCTGGAGTTTTTATTTTCTTAACCAGTCGTGTTACAGGCACTGTTCAGAAAAAAGCATTTACAGTATTTTGTGTATGTTTCCGGTACGTATTTAACCAAAAGTTTAAAAAAATCTTTCTGTGTAAATATCTCATGTTCCAACGTGGACGCCTGCAGCTTATAGACAAGTGCAGCCTGTATATGTACACACCTGGTTTTCTTGTTAAAGTTAGCAGGTGTGGCTTATATTCAGGTGCCTCTATAGTCTGGAAATTACGGTAATAATTTAACGATGCAAATAGAGTATTTACAATACCTGTTAGTTGCATTATTTTGAAAGGTTTCTGTTTTTATTTGTCTCATCCAAAGCAGTAGATTTTGATGTTAATTGATAATCATCTGTGGATGTTCTGCTGGAACTTGGTGCTTAAAGAGCGACTGTTTTCTATTTATTTATCCATCAACTGTTTCACTGATTACTGGCTTAATCTAAATGATGTATGTCCCACAGTTTACTGTTGACCTGCAGGAATCCAGTCACACTGTCGCTTTAGGATCATGATGGAAAGATAAACACGATAGTTTCCTGTTTGTCTCTTGGAAAGATCCATGTTAATGTTTCTTACCTCTTTGTGTGTGTTTCTAGGGATGAGATCTACTGTCAGATCTGTAAGCAGCTGAGTCAGAACCCGTCCAAAAGCTCTCACGCTCGTGGCTGGATCCTCATCTCGCTGTGTGTCGGCTGCTTCGCCCCGTCGGACAAATTCGTGAAGGTTGGGACTCTCAAAGCTTCTATGACAGAACCAGAAATATTTAAATTTGTACTGATCCCACAGTAGGAATCAAATATATTGTTTTCTATTTGCATGAGTGGAACTTTATTTTTGTTTTTCCTTGCAGTACCTGAGGAACTTCATCAGCAGCGGGCCGCCGGGTTACGCTCCGTACTGCGAGGAGAGGCTCAGACGAACATTCGCTAACGGGACGAGAACACAACCTCCATCATGGCTGGAGCTGCAGGTACAAACACACACATCTGGCTGATTAAAAACACCTAAAATAGTTCATTTAATAATGTTTTTTGCAATTAGTTTTATTCCTAAATTATTTTTAATGGATTTATCATCGTGTGGAAAAGTTTACTCCTGGTTTAAAGTGACCACAGTGTTCTTTATGTGGAGTTTCAGTCCCGTGTTTAGTTTATTTAACTAGAAGATTTGACTAAAGTTGTGGAATCACCGTTCAGGCCACCAAGTCGAAGAAGCCCATCATGCTGCCGGTGACATTCATGGACGGGACGACCAAAACTCTGCTGACGGACTCGGCCACCACGGCCAAGGAGCTCTCCAACGCCCTGTCGGACAAGATCAACCTGCGAGATCGCTTCGGCTTCTCGCTCTACATCGCTCTGTTCGACAAGGTGGGCGAACAAACACACACGGGAATCGATGTTAGAAACTTAAACACATGTGCAGCCATGATTCAGGAGTCAGGACAGAAAACTGGGCAGAATTAATTTAACAGGTATGAAATATTACATCAGAATCTCTTTCACACGTATAAGTATCAGTAAAATGCTGGAGAAACAATTCATGTATTAAAACAACGGAAAACTCACACATTTTATTCAACAGAAACACTTCACTGTCAGAAATGTGTCTTTATTGTTATGTGACCTGAATGTTTGGACTTTATTGTGCTGAGTTTCTTTTCACATTTATTTCTCTGTGTACGTTCATACTTCATGTGAAGGTTGTCTGAAGTATTGGAGCAAGTAGCTGATGGAAAATAAGATGTAAGGTTGTTATTTCACCACATCTGTAATTCGTATATCCTCTGCTGTTTGGTGCACAATTAGTTTTCTGAACATCTTTTGAGGATCAATTAGATTCTGTTTAGTCCCATTTTTAGGTTGTAGCTGCAGATTGTAAACATTGTTGTACTCAGAACTGCATCTAAATTCTCAACTTTGCAGGTTTTGTAAGGTGTTGTTTTCTCGTTTTTAATTTTAGTGGGTTGAGCGTCAATACGTTCACTAAATAATAATTCACAGATTTCATGCTGTTGGAAAATGGATGTTTTAATCGAGCGCGTTCCATTTCTGTCCTTGAAGGTCAAAGGACGTCTTAGGTTTTAAAAATCTTCAGCAGTCTTCTCATTCAGTCCATATCCATGCTGAACATGCATTACTGTAAGTTCACTGTTTGAAAAACAGCTGGGTTATTGATTTCAAAAAGTGATGAGTAAGCAGAGTCCTGCTCATTTTACTGATTCATTCCACTGAAGGGCGCTAGGGGGCGCTGTAACAACCTGCTGTGTCCTACTTGTGTCTCAGAGTTTGTAAGGAGTCCAGGTGACGAGCACTTTTCCTTTTATGTTTTTGTGTATTCATGTATTAAACTGTTCCTCCAGGAGAGAATAACGCTGTCTCTGGTTCGTCCCTGTGCTCTCCTGCTGCAGGTCTCGTCTCTGGGCAGCGGCAACGACCACGTGATGGACGCCGTGTCGCAGTGCGAGCAGTACGCCAAGGAGCAGGGCGCCCAGGAGAGGAACGCCCCCTGGAGGCTGTTCTTCAGGAAGGAGATCTTCACGCCCTGGCACAGCCCCACCGACGACCAGGTCGCCACCAACCTCATCTACCAGCAAACCGTCAGAGGAGTTAAGTTCGGAGAATATCGCTGCGACAGGGTGACTGCTTCTTTCTTTGTTCTTCATTTTAAAGGAATAGTTCGACATGTTGGGAAAGACGTGGTGCGTTTCCACTCTGATGTCTGTTCATGGAACCAACAGCTGGTTGGTTTACACCAAGACTGGAAACAGGACAAACATCCAGTCTGTCTATAGATTAATAGGATCGATCTGCTGATCTCACTCTGAGCCAAGAACAAACTCAAAACATGTAGTTCCCAAAATGTTGGATTATTTCTTTCAGCTGTAGTCAGACTTTTAGGTGGGGAAAGTAGAAGATCTGCATTTTCTGATGATATAGAGATCTAGAAGGTGTAGAGGAGCTGGTCTTTGGACTGTAACTGTTTCTGGTCCTTAATGTGACAAGTCCACACTAACTTCTGGGTCTCTGTGTCCCAGGATGATCTGGCAGAGCTGGCCTCTCAGCAGTACTACGTAGACTACGGTTCAGAGATCCTTCTGGAGCGTCTGCTGAGCCTCATCCCCTCCTACATCCCCGACAGAGAGATCAGCACCTCCAAGACGGTGGAGAAGTGGGCTCATTTCATCATGGCTGCTCACAAAAAGGTGCTGCCCTCAGAGGAGAAGCTGCAGTTTTAGCCACGACTGCGGTGGAGTAACTGGAAAATGATTGGATGGATCGTCTGTAAATTCATCTATCTATCTATCTATCTATCTATTCATGATCCTCAGAGGATGAATCCTGCAGACGCTGGTGGTTCTGTCCTCTGTTTTAGTGCCACCAGCAGCTGACATTTGGCGTTTTCAAATGACTCAGCAGCTGTTGGATGGATTGCTCATAAATGCTGACGATACATTTACGTCCCCCTCAGGGAGCATTTGAACCACCTGATGGATGACTTTCACTCTGAAGTCTTCATCAGGTTGTAGTTTTAATCCGTCCAGTAGTTTGGTTTATAGCAGCCAGAGACATTCCTGTTATCCTCAGCTGGACTTCATGTTTAGGTCTAGATGGCTAATCTTAGCGTGCAAACAACAACGCATAGAAAGGAAACATTTACAAACACACTGATGAATGTTCCACCATCTGCCACCACGACGTCTCATCTTTATTATGTTCTCATATAAAGTAATAAACTGTGTGTGTGTTCAGGGCATCTACACCCAGAAGAGGTTTGATGCTCAGAAGGTGAAGGAGGAAGTGGTGGACTTCGCTCGACACAAGTGGCCTCTGCTGTTCTCTCGGTTCTACGAAGCCTTCAAGTTCTCAGGTGAGAATCTTCAACACCTAAACTGACGTCATCCTGAAGGCTTCATTTACTTACATTTATTAACCTAAGCATGTACTGATTTTACAACAAATGCAACACAGGCACACAAAATAACTTAAACACCGACTTACACAACTTATATCAGCACCTAATTAAATGTTAAACTTCTCCAGGAAACGTCCGGAGGAATAACACAACATCTTCCTGCTATTTAGGAAACTGGGACCCACAAAACACAAACTTAATGAAACTGTGTACCAACTTGACCTTGTTGGTTTTCTGCCTCTCAGGTCCCAGTCTGCCTAAAAACGACCTGATCGTCGCCGTCAACTGGACGGGAGTTTATTTTGTGGACGAGCAGGAGCAGGTCCTCTTAGAACTCTCCTTCCCAGAAATCACTGCAGTTTCCAGCAGCAGGTGAAGCATCCTGGGAGCTTTATGAACTGTTCGTTGCTCATTTCTAATTCTGTCTTTTGCCTCTCTGAGTACGTTCTCCTCTCTCTCTTCTTGAAATGAAAAACAACAGCGTTTGTCATCTCAGCTGATTCTCTACACATGACTTTGTTCAGTGTTAAAGAACTTTACTGATGTGTGAATTAAAGCTCACACAGGGAGGAGGTCAGGATGGATCAGATTACTGTTTGTTTACTGTTTCCTTCTGCCAACCTGTTAACACAAACCAAGCAGTTTAAACTAAACCTGCACCTGAACCTCAACAGTAGCTGCATCATTTTCGTGTCAGTGATGTGTAAAGTTTCATGTCACCCATAAACGCTGCATAATTCTGCGCTGACAGTAAACTTATCGTGTTGTTGGCTCAGAGGAGGGAAGCTGCAGGGTCAGAGTTTCACTTTGGCCACCATCAAAGGAGACGAGTACACCTTCACCTCCAACAACGCCGAGGACATCCGCGACCTGGTGGTCACCTTCCTGGAAGGCCTGAGGAAGAGGTCCAAGTTTGTGGTGTCGCTGCAGGACAACCCCAACCCCAGTAGGTCCTCCACAGTGACTGCTTCTGTTTCCTTTAAAGCCAAGACACGGAACAAAAGGAGATTTATGCATCACTGAGATAACTATTTCAACACACTTTGCTGTTTTTCAGTGTCGTGCCAAACAGGACAAAGTCAAAAAGCAGCACATTTAAGAAGCAGGAACTCTGCAGTGTTTGGCTTTTTAGTTACTGTTTTATGGAATCGTCTAGAGTCAAAGTTCTTGGATTTAGCATAGAAAATAACTTGTTTCTGTTTTTTCAATGTGAGGGCTGAAGTTTTTTTTTGTAGTTTTGTCGTAAATATTTTCAGCAGAAAGGTTGAGACACAGCGCGACATAAAAACAAGTGGGAAACATTTCCATCTAAACGCTCTCTGGACACGTTGGACAGAAGACACTGTCTAAAGTCTAAAGTCTGACCTCAGAGCTGTTTCCTCTACAGCCGGTGAGGAGTCGACGTTCCTCAGCTTCCTGAAGGGAGATCTGATCGTGTTGGACCAGGACACCGGTGAGCAGGTCCTCAACTCTGGTTGGGCACACGGCATCAACGAACGAACCAATCAGAGAGGAGATTTCCCCGCTGACTGCGTCTACGTCTTACCCAGCATGACCCGACCTCAGCAGGACATAGTGGTGAGAACAGAACCACGTTTTAGAGCTGTTGTGACACTCGTCTCATAATTTTTAACAGAGAAAGCTTCAAGGTTAAGACGGCGTTTAAATCGTTTGAGACACTTTATCAAAAGGTCCAGCAATTTATGAACTACATGAGACGTTCATCCAAACTTCCAACAATCATCAATAACAACAAATAACAAAATTCGACTGTAATGAAGGAAAAACATCAAGTTCAAGGTTCAGTCTGACGAATGCAGAGATTTCAAATCAACGGCCGATTACAGAAACAACATAAGAGCAGAGTCACCAAATGTTACAGCTTTAAAGTACGTTTTCATTACATTTACAAACAAAACTAAATTAAAACATTCTAGTTACTGTGGTTTATTGTGTCTTAATAGAACTTTAATATCAAATTTAAATGCTAATTACTTATTTATTTATTTTCACAGGCGCTGGTCACCATGACGCCAGACCAGCGTCAGGAGTCGGTTCGTGTTTCGCAGATCGTGATGCCAGAAACTGACGGCAGAGTGAAGCCGTACACGCTGGAGGAGTTCTCCTACGACTACTTCAGGTACACAGGAACAAAGAACACGTGTAACAAACTCATACATGCACACGTTGTTAGAAACAGAAGCACAACGTATTCACCAGGACAGTCATGTATGTAGTGACATGGAGTTTATTCTTACCTCTTTGATCACAGGTCCAGAACTCATCGACGTTTCTCTGGAGCTGCAATGATCGATTGATTAGTTTTTAACTTTCAAATTAATTGTCAACTATTTTCATAACTGATTAATCAGCCAGTAACTGAATTAAGTCTAAATTCTTTGATTCCAGCTTCTTAGTAGTGATTTTTTTTTTCTGGTTTCTTTCCTCCTCAACAACAGTAAAGTTAATACCTCAAGACATTTGTCATCGTGGACTGTGGACAATGATGATAACTGTTGGTTGCAGCTTTAATTTTCTCCAACATAACGTCTCATATTCTAAACAGAGTGAACATTTAGTTTAACAGCTGCTTATCTTCATCCTTCTGTGAGTTTTTACTCGTAAGACAAACATTTCAGATCTGACATACATCTACATGACGTCTAGACGTTATGTTTTATGTTTTACATTTAAAGACATTCAATCACGTCAGTGTGTCGGTCATGTCTGCTGCTTCTTCCAGGCCTCCTCCCAAACACACCCTGAGCAGAGTGATGGTCACGAAGAACCGAGGTAAAGACAAGATGTGGAGCTGCACCAGAGAGCCGCTGAAACAGCCGCTGCTGAAGAAGGTGGTGAACCACGAGGAGCTGGCTCAGGACGCCTGCATGTCCTTCATAGATATCCTTCAAACGGCTCATGTGTTTCACTTCTGTGCAGTTTTCCAGCCAGCAGGGAAATACCACTGGCTAACATCACCTGCAAGCTCTGATAATGGTTTAAATACAAATATAATAATCTAAGGTTCAGAGAATGTGTTAGGGATATTTAGCATTTCAAATGATCCTGTGAGGGTAAAAGTTAAATAAATCCTTATTTACATAGGACTAGAATGATCTGGGGACCTCCAGTAAGTTGTAATAACTGCAGACGGTGACTGTGATCTTGATCCTGTGTGAATCTGCAATATCTGTAATTTGTAAAGAAAAAAGTCCACAAATTAGTGGCCATGGTTCACCTAAATCCCAGGAGGTCTCAGAGTAACACTAGTAGTACTGATGCTCGTATTGAATTTAGACGGAGCGTTTTAGTTGGAACATTCAGAGGATGTTTGGAGAACGTTGTTCAGAGAAATAATCTAAAATTTCTTCTAAAAAAGTCTTGTACACAGAGTCTGACACCTAAAAACACACACATCCTACATGTGTACTCAGCTCATCATGTTGACTCCTTGACGGTGTTCCTACCGATGATGAAGTACATGGGCGACTACCCGTCCAAACGGACCCGCTCAGTCAACGAGCTGACGGATCAGATCTTTGAAGGCGCGCTGAAGGCCGAACCTCTGAAAGACGAGATCTACTGTCAGATCATCAAACAGCTCACAGACAACCACGTCAAGTCAGTAAACTCACCCCAGAATCAAATCAAAAATCAGGGTTCACGCTTTTCATGAGTCAAAACTTTCCCTGAACGTCTCATCAGATTTTTAAGAATCTACGGTTGAGCTTAACGCAAAAGTTTTAGAAATTTGCTCTTTAGATTTTAATGACAAATACGATCTTTAAACAAAAAGTCAAACATTTATCACAACAACCATTTTCCAAATCTGTGCAAGTATTTATAATTTAAATTGCAATAAAAGAATAGAAAAGTCCTCAACTTTTTGTTTAAAATCACTGAACGAGCTGAACACAGAGTAAAGATTTGTCTCACTCAGTGGACGTTCATCATTCACTCATTCATGTCTGTGGCTGGAGGCAGAACCGACACCAGCTCCTGTGTGCAGACATTAACGAGACCTTTGTGCTGCTGCAGGTACAGTGAGGAGAAAGGCTGGGAGCTGCTCTGGTTGTGTACTGGTCTGTATCCTCCCAGTAACGTGCTGCTGCCGCACATCCAGCGCTTCCTGCAGTCCAAGAAACACCACCCGCTGTCTGGAGACTGCATGCAGAGGCTGCACAAAGCACTACGGTAAAACTTTGACTTCAGCTTTACATGATCCTCACCTGGACTTCTGGTTATTGACAGTTTGATTCATGGTTACTTTGAGCCGACTGACTTCTGAATCAGGTTTTTGAGAAAAGCGTGTTTTAAACTAATTAAACCAACTAAAAACGACATGAGAGTAAAATTGTTTTAGCAAAAGAAAAAAAGGTTGCTCCACATGTGCATTAAAGCCTCTGGACAGATTCTGATATGCAGAAATAAATATATTACACGGATTCCTTTAAATGAAGAAATAACAATATTGGCCAGAGTTATGAGACGTGGTGTTTATATGTGAGGTTTTAAATCAGGTGGAATCAGCTGACTGACCTGGCTGTTGTCATGGTAACAGAAACGGATCCAGGAAGTACCCCCCTCATTTGGTGGAAGTGGAGGCCATCCAACATAAGACGACACAGATCTTCCACAAAGTCTACTTCCCCGACGACACTGACGAGGTACGACACAAACTGAGGGACGGACGTTTATACTCGTCATCAGCAAAGTGCCGTTTGAAAGTGAGTTTGTGTCAAACCTGCAGGCCTTCGAGGTGGAGTCCAGCACCAAGGCCAAGGATTTCTGCCAGAACATCTCCACCAGACTGCTGCTCAAATCTCCTGAAGGCTTCAGCCTCTTTGTCAAGATCTCAGACAAGGTCAGAGGTCGAGGATTGTTTCTGTGACGTTGAGTAACGTTTAAAACCTGTCAGGATGTGATGATGACAGCAGGAGGTTGAGTTCACTAAACCACCGTGTCCAGATATGTTCTTCTCAGTACCAACCACAAAGCACATTCTCCACTGTTAGGAACTTTTTAAATGAGTCTTGAACATGAACATAATTTATAGAGAGAAATAAAACAGCATCTAAACGTGAGCTCTGTTTGATGAACTGCGTTCATGTCATTGACGTGTTTCTGACTCTGTGTGACTCTGCAGGTGATCAGTGTGCCAGAGGGAGACTTCTTCTTCGACTTTGTCCGACATTTGACCGACTGGATCAAGAAATCTCGACCAGCTAAAGACGGTTAGTACAGTTTAAAGTGAAAGCAGTGTTCAGCTGTATCTTGTCAGAGAACTATGATTTTTAGATTTTAATTAGTTGTTAAATTTATTGACAGATTAACGTCACACCTCAGATGCAGACCTTCACTGTTCTTAATAAATTAATCAGGATCAACCTGCTAACAAAGAGCTTTGAGGCTGTTTTGGTCCAGTTTTTAGCATTAAAACTGATTGAATCAAGCAGACTTTTTCAGAAGTTTTTACAGTTTTCTCAATGTACAGGAGCAAAACACACATCTTCCCTCCCACTCTGCAGGAATCGTTCCCTCTCTGACCTACCAGGTGTTCTTCATGAAGAAGTTGTGGACCAACACAGTTCCAGGGAAGGACTCCTTCGCTGACTCCATCTTCCACTACTACCAGGTCCGTCTTATGGCACTTCTACTTTCTGTTTGTTTATCTGAAAAGTTTAAATTGATCAATATTCAAATAAATGCAACAGAGTTAGTACAGAGTTCAGTCCCTTTACCTGATGATGTCTGAATTAATTACAGAACAATATGTACGAAAGGGATTCACAGCTCAGTTAAATACAGCATCGCACACAAAGACAGATGTGTTATGAGTATTAAACCACTTCCTACAGTCACCATGATGAAGTCCACCAGAGGACCAGAACCTAAACTGTACATCTGTTAACTAACATTTTGAATGTTTTACTTTTAAGGCAGCTATTTGTCAGTATTTCTCATTCAAGTTGATTATTATCTTTCATTTGTCAGTTTGCTTCCAACAATTTTCAAATCATGTTTTGCAGGTGAACCTTAGTGTAAATAACGACATCACTCCTCTGGTTCTCTTCTTCTCATCAGGAGCTGCCTAAATACCTGCGTGGTTACCACAAGTGTTCACGAGAAGAGGTTTTCCAGCTCGCGGCGCTCATCTACCGTGTCAAGTTTGAGGACGACAAATCCCACTTCCCTACAATTCCCAAGATGCTGCGGGAGCTGGTCCCCCAGGATCTGATCCGCCAGATGTCCCCGGATGACTGGAAAAGGGTGAACAAGACAAATCTAATCACGTTTACAGTGAATATAAAATCATCGTCACTGTAGTTTTACATTCTGTGTGTCAGATGTTGGATGTGCTTAATGTAGAATCTGGTCATCGTTTGTCTAAACATCAGTAAATCACTGCTCTCTAGTTCTCTACAAGGTTATGATCGTTATGAAGTGACTTTTACCTTTAAGATCTTGAATCCGGTTTCTGTCTTTGAGTGGCTCTGACAGACCTGAGACCCGTCATTAACACAGGCTGTGTGTGATTACAGTCTGTGGTCGCGTACTTCAACAAGCAGGCCGGTAAATCCAGAGAAGAAGCCAAACTCATGTTCCTGAAGATCATCTACAAATGGCCGACCTTTGGCTCCGCCTTCTTTGAGGTCAAGGTAAACACACCTGAAGCTTTCTGGCTGTTTCTCATCTGTCTTACTGAGAAACTACTTTCGCCTGCCATTTGATTAGGTACCCGTAAAATCTACCACAGTGCAGCTGAGCCATAAACGCTCCTTTAATGAAGTGAATAGGATAATCCTTTGAGACTAGAGTGCTTTACATTTAAGGGTTCCTAATATTTTGTCCCACTCTTTAACCCCAAATGAGGGGAGGACATTTAAGTGGAGTCATCACCTTACTGAGAACAAAATAATGTGACGTTATTATAGAGAAACATTACAGTTTATGCAATGAGGTGATCAGCTGATACCAAGATGTCATAAACAAGCCTTTTGTCTTCAGCAAACCACGGAGCCAAACTACCCAGAGATCCTGCTGATCGCCATCAACAAACATGGAGTCAGTCTCATCGACCCCAAGAACAAGGTTGGTGTTTGTACAGAAAGCTCTGCTAATGCTCTCCACACTGATTATCCCGTTAAGGAGTCGCTGTCTCCCAGAGGTGCTGAGGGTCATTTAGGCATTTCTGTCTCTGTGCAGGACATCCTGACCACTCACCCCTTCACCAAGATCTCCAACTGGAGCAGTGGAAACACCTACTTCCACATCACCATCGGCAACCTGGTCAGAGGAAGCAAACTGCTGTGTGAGACGTCGCTGGTGAGTCCCAGCAACACACACTAGTAGTAACTCAAACAGGAACAACTGGCTGCCGGAGGGGAATAAAAATACCTGGAACTCCTCATCAGACAGAACTGAGAAAGCTTCTTGGATGTGAAGGTGAAACATCTTCCAGAACCAAAAGAAGCCCGACTTCTACTGGGCCATATCATGAATCTAAATAACATAAATTTCCATCAGTGCTGTGCAACAGTCACATCTTTCTTACGACTTTGTTCCAACAGTATTACCAGCTTTACTCACCATTTAACTGCACTTCTCTTAAGTTAAACCACCACCAATTAAACTGACACTAATAATGATGTCATCGGCCTCAGACCGGTCCGTCATATTCACAACTCAAGCAAAAGACTTCTTGGAGGTTTTCGTTATTGAATTTGAAAAACGCTGATGAAGTGCTGTGTGATTGGGGACACGTCATTCAAAGAAAAACTTTAAATAGTGAATCAAACTGTTATTTCCCTAGAAAGAGAGCAGCAGAGCGGTAAGACGTGACTGTTAGAAGTGATGCTGTGTGCGTTCTGGTTCTGGAAGATGTTTCAGTATCACTTACAAAGGTTTGCTCAGTTGTAACAGGTTGATTCTGAGTTGTAGATATTTATATAAGCCCACCTGTTTGGTCACCTGGGAGGGACGTCAGGAGAGTTTCATCTTGAGGAGCTGCCTCTCTGTGTAGCTGTAGTCTCTCCAGGCCGGTGCACTGCCAGCTGCAGATATGACGTTGCTCAGTTTGTGTTTGTGAAGAGCATGAATCCTTCCATGTGTCTTTATTTCTTACTGAGGAAAGGACATTCTTGGTCTGGTGCTGTGAGGGTCTGATAACTTCCAGCTTACGTTGCAGTAGGTGCACTTCAGACACCAACTGGTTCATCCTGAGGATAAAACACCCAAACACAAGCTGAGCAACACGTATGCAAACCAATACAGCGAGGAGTGCACAGACTACATGTAGTGGAGACGAAACACTCAGCAGTCCACCTGTATCTGAAGGATAAGGGACACTTGGAGGACAGCAGTGTTCACATTCAGGACAGAGAAGAGGAGACCATCTATGTTAACCAGGGGAGGAGGTCTCATACGATACATACGATGCAGTCTGACCTTCCTCCCTCGGCCGGGCCAACGATGATCTCATCAGCTTTCCATCATTTTGTACTAATGAGCACTGGACATTTTCTGTAGGTGAGAAACACGCATGAGGAGCAAGAACTAATTCTACGTTCCATCCCAATATGCGTCACATTTCTTCTGACCCACATGGACGGTCAATGTGTTGTTCCAGTCCAGTTCTAACACTCTGCCAGTTTGGAGGAACACTTTGGAGAGATGATGCGACTCCTAACGTGATGTCTGTTTAGACCTGCTGCTGTCAGACAGCATCCAGCTGCTGGTTCTGAGCACATCTGCTCTGTCTGGCTGTGATGCTGACGCTACTGTATTCCTGAACTCCTAAATAAACACATCTGTCGTTAAAGCACCGCAGGTCTGAATAATAGCTGCTGGATGCTCTTCAAGTGCGAATAATGAGCAGTAAATGTGTCACATCATCTCTCTTCTGGAGTATCTGCAGGGTGTTTTTCTAAACAGGCAGTGTGTCATGACTTGGCTGGACCAACACGTCAGCTGTTGATATGGATCAGAAGGAATGTGCAGCATAGTGCAAGGAAACGTGAAACAGTAAATACGAGCCTCTTGAGGCTCCATAAGTCTGATCTGTGTGTAAAACATTCACAGTGACTCTGTGTTCATACCTGCAGGGCTACAAGATGGACGACCTGCTGACCTCGTACATCAGCCAGATGCTGACCACCATGAACAAGCAGCGGCCTGGGCGGGGCCACAGCAAGTGAACTTCTTACTGGCAGGAGGCCACTGAGCTCATCCGCCTCTTGCGTCCTATTGGCCAGCACTGCAGCTGGGGGCGGACCTTCGCCCACCAGCTGTGGAGGATGAGCCGCAGTCCTTCTGCTAGCTCCGAGGGCTCGAAGCTCACCGGGGAGAGTTCGACTGCCAGCAGCGACCCCGGAGAAGGACCCAGTAACTATTACCGCCACAACTACGATGACGATGAGCCGTCCAGTGAGGACGACTACCTCTGAAACTCTCGTCCAAACTGTCCGTCCTCCTACGTTCGTCTTCCTGGTTTGGTTCCCAGATTCCAGTCAGACCTGTTTGTACAGAGACAGTGTTCAGTCAGTCCTAGTGTCACCTAAAGGCCTGATTCAGATCACTGTGGGGATCCTCGGCTCTGTGAAATGTTGACAGGGCATCTGAAGGTCTTAAAAAACAAAACTAATTAAATTAAGGTGCCTCAAAAAGCCTTAAATATGTTTGCCTGACGTAGACAGAAACATGTTGGACTGCGGCTGTTCAGTCAACTGACTCATAATGGGCCGTGCTGGTTTTAGCTATCTGTCAATCAGTTCCTTCATTTTATGCCACAATTAATACTGACAATAACGTCAATAAATACATAGAATCATTACATCATTGTAGGTCTTCTTGTCCCTGCTGGTTTTCACACTTTCTCTGACTGATTGTGAACAAGTCGTACATCTACGCTGCAGAAACCTGATGAACCTGGAAGAGCTGACAGGAGAAGAGTCACACAACATTGAGATGTGCTTGAAGTTGAACCATTCAGCTGAGCAGAATCTGACCTGAGACCTTTACTACAAAGCAGGTTTTAACTTTAGCTTTAGTTCTGGGTTTTCAGAACAGTTTATGTTCAAGACAACAGATCGTATATATTAAAGTACTGACTATTGACCAATCAGACGTTTTGGAAAATGGCCTCCTAAAGCTTGCTGCACTCATAGTGAAAGTCTTTCTTAAGAGGTTTGTTAACAATTTTGAAGCCATTCTATTGTTCTACAGGCCTTTGTTGTAGGATTATATCACTATACAGAGACGATAAAGCACTCAGACTGTGTACTGTTGCAGTAAGTCTGCTTACTGAGTTAAATGCTGCTCTTATATTTGTTCTTTACTTTTCCCCCAAAACCAATGAACATCAACAGAGCTGCAGCTGAAAGAATAGGTCAAGAATTGTCATAATTACCATAAGAACAGACTGAACAACACATATAATGGAACAGATTGTAATTATAGTCAGACGTGCTCGTGTCTCCACGATGGAGCCTAATTGGCGTTCGTCACACAGTTGCTGCTTTCTGTCCAGCAGCTGTGTTGCCTGTATTTCAAACTCCTCATATTTGTTTAGGGATTTAGTTTCTCTTCTTGTGGGAAATATGCAGCTCTAGACCTGTCCATGTGTCGGCAGGATTGCAGTTGTCAGACGATGAAACAACATCCTGGGTTTGTTGAACCTGCTGAGTCCTAACTCAAAGGTAAACGTGTCTGATTTAGGTACCACCAGCTTCCCTGTGGCACCGTTACCAGAATATACACTCTTCACACCCAGGATAAGAGTCTAAGACAATTCCTTAAGGTCTAGTCTTAGTAAGCTTAGTCAAAATAGGCATTTAAAGGTATTAAATCTATTTCTAGCTCAATAGTGTTGTTACAGAAGTCTGTACAAAGTGATTTTTGCAAAAACAGGGAAAACTCTAGGACTATTTTTCAAAAACTGAACTGCATTTTCAGTTTAATTAATCCAGTTTCTCTGCTTATCCAGATAATTAAATCATAAGTTCAGCACTGGCAGTGCAAATGATTCATGATGCTCATTACTATCTTTCAAACATGAATGACAATGAAACCGGTATTAAACTGAAGATGGAATCATGTTAAAAAAGATCCTAAAGAGTCAAATGTTTTGCTGTAAATCCTGTAAAAGCTCTGAGAAATACAGTTTGACCGTTTTGTGTGTAAATTAGAGCATAACAGGAGCTTCAGTGAAGCTGAAGACACATAATCTTGTTCCTTTCTCCTCTAGTGCATCCTGAAGTCAAAAAGTTTACGTCCTTTCTTAGAAACAGTGATGGCTGCAAGGTTCTCTGAGAAAACTAAATATGAAACACGTCTTTTCTGTTTTTTCTTCTCAGCTGGTACAAGCTGCTGTTTTTAGTCGTGACACCACTTAGAATAACGATCTAGGTTTAGAATACGCCTGTTGTTTCTGGCCTTAGTTCCAAACTGTGCGACTTTATTTATTTAAAACAGTTGGTGTGACAGTAGAAACAAACCTGTGGTGAGTTTTGAGTCGGAGTCTTCAGGTTGATCATTTATGGCCTCTGCTATGTGAAACCATCTAATATTGGATATTGTTTTTTTAAGACTTTACTTGTGGTTTACACTTTTGTTTATATGTGTTTATCAGCTGTTTGTGTTTAGTTTTTCATGCCTTATTTGTTTCCTGTTTCTGTTGATTATTGCTTTTTCTGTTGCTTTCAGCTGCATCTCCAGTGGGAGGACTTCCCACTCATGTACTGGAAATGATTTCATGTCATAAACACTCTGTTGAGGGCTGAAAGCTGCAGATAAAAAGCTCTGGAGAAGCTGCAAATGGAGCTGAAGTTGAGATTGTTTTGTCAGACTTCCATCACACTCAACAGTCCTGTTGTTGTTGTTTTGTTTTTTTACTGTTGTTACAGATGTCATTTGTATAAATACACATTTGTGGATATAAAACACATTTATACTCCTAAGGTCTACTTAACGTGTCCCGTCTATGAAGAAACGTCATCATTAAATTGAGTCTGAATAAAAATGAGTTCATGGATCATCCAGTGACGGCCGTTCAGACTAAATGAAAGAACATAAGTGAGGACGTACCTCCACCAGGGCTGAGCAGCACGATGAACTCTTAAGACTCACATCTGTGTCTGGACCTACACAAAACTACACACAGAAAACAACAGTCATGACACATCACAAAGGGCTGAAGTTCTTAGAGAAACACTTAGAAGGTCAGAGTGAAATGTTCTTCTGTGAGTTACATAATTGTGCTTCAGAGAGAACAGAAAATACAACAGAATGACCTGTACTTAAAGAGACACTCACCTGTTTCCCCAGAGGAGCAGCTTTCTTCTGTAAAACCAGACAAACATTCTGAATACATGGACCACAGTGACTCTGAGGCCTGACCTCCACCAAGCAGCACCAAAAACACACCAGATTTTTGCTAAACGGAGCAAAAGTGAAGACGGTGGTCATCTGTGGCTTTAACATATTGTGGCTCAGATTACCAAGAATGCTACTGATCAATGCATGAATGTTTCATTCTCAAATCTTTATCCACAAATGAAACGCTTGGTTGACCGCAGGAAAAGATGAACAGGTGATTTTAAAGCTTAAATAGGTTTGTAACTTTAAATATTGCAGAACATGTTCTTATGTATTCATTCTTTCAAATCAAAAATTAAATCTTAGCCACAAAGATTTAGATATCGCCTCTTGTTTCGTTTCATTAAAACTTTTGGCTTCATTTGTTTTATTAATTTTCTGTTAATGTGACGAACAATTCATCCGTTCACCTGCACCGGGTCGTGTTTGAACAGATACTGTGCCAATTATCCCTTTGATGCCTGTGTGTCGTTATCTCTTTGTGCACTAAAGCAAACCTGCCTGTTGTGTTGCTGTTTTACAGGTTTTAGTCATTTTTGTCTCATCATCTTGACTTCTGGTCGTGTTTCTGTGTAACGTGTGCCGTCGCTTTTGTACAAAACATGAAATAAAATGTTGTTTTGACTCAGCTGATAGAAATGAATGAATAACTTGACCTTGAACATCATCTCTGTGAGTAATGTAGTGTTTAGTGATCGGTTTTAGTTGAAGCACCAGTAAACTGATTATACTAAATATTTTCTATATTGATTTTTCATTTGTATCTTGCAACTATAAATACAGAAACAAGTCCACCACAGCTCTGGGTCAGTGGGATTAGCTGAGCAGCTGTGTGCTTCACTAGAGGTTAAAGAAATGTTTAGTCAGACTGTCTGGACACTTACACCAGAAAAATGTACCAAACAACAAACCTTTTTCTAACGTTTTAATACCAGATGACCGCAGCATTTATAATCAGAAAAGTTACAGTAAAAAAACAAACCAAAAGTCGGGAACGCTCCTATAAAATAAAACAAAAACAGCACAGGATGTAAAACGCTACAGAGGTTAGACCGTTTGACAGAATAGTACTGGTTGGTTTTTTATTTTGTCCATCACACAGGTCATTTTGCTCAGCAGCAAATCTGAAGCTCGTTATTCAAGGACAACGCTGAGCGTTTACACAGCAGCACTGACATGAGCCTGTGTTCACCTCAATAATAAATAACGTCAGGTTTTAGGAATGTTTGGTAGTTATCGTTTCAGTTATTCTCTAATCCAGAAGCTCTGATTTCAAGAGACACAACATTGTACGTTCATAAACCTGAAAAAGTCTCTCACAAAGGGCGTCGCTTCGTTTACAGATCATTTGTGCATCAGGATCATCGTCGTACACGTCACATTTAGAGAGCAAGCGCTGCGACACCATGTCTCAGTGTACAAATGAACCACAGCGTCCAGTCCTTCCAGGACCATGAACACACCACTGATGGAGCCAAATCTACAACAGCTCTGACACGGACGACTTCTACTGGTGAGCAGCTCCACTGATGGACACGGACTTCAAACGTACCCTGCAGAGAACTAGTTTTTGTCTACGATGCACTCTTGCAGGCATTAAGCAAAGCAGAGATGTTGTACTGATGACGCGTTGAAAGCGTTGCTCTTTAGTTTTACCAAGAAAGAAGAAACTCTTTTCATGCATCTAATATTTTGCTCAGCAGTCCTGAGTGACGACTAAACGAGGAGAAGCAGTTTATGTAAACGTCTGTGGCCTGGACAATCTGTTTCCAACAGCTTTCCTCATCTTATTTCTTCTGGGTCCTGTTTATGCTTTAAGTTTACCGTCACTGAATTAACATGCAGAGCAGCATGCAAAGGTGCTTCTACTGGATATCTGCCTTAAATATAGAGACTTAAAAAAAACAGAGTTTGTGGTCAAACCACAGCTGGTTTGTAAAAGGTTTTCATTCTGGTTTCAGTTTCAGCTACCAAGGAAACATGTCAGCTGACTGCAGACTAAAGTTTGTGCTGTCCACTTCTGTGCTGCTCATCTGTACACTCAGCCTAATGGTCACTGTTCTGCTTCCCATGGTACACTTCAGTCAGAGTTAAGAAGTGGACCACCTCTACTGCAGGGGCTGAAACACTCCAATGAAACCATCTGAAACCAGCGTTCTGAACTTCAGTGGGATACTGGGCCTTAAAAACAGCAATGTCTGTATTTCCTAAAGCTCTAGTCAGGACAAAAGGCTTCACTTCCTTGTTCAAAAAGGGCAAAAGAATCACCGCATGTGTTCTTCAGTAGTTTTTTTTTGGCATGCTCACAAATCTGCTAGAAGCTTTCCTCAGAGCATGCTGCTTTGAAACTTCTGTTTTAGGAAATGCAAAAGTCTCTCTGGATGCCAGGATACTGTTTCCAACTAAAAACTCCTCTTTACGCACACAATCTAGGTCTACATGAGCTCAGAGACTAAGTGGTCACTTTAAGAAAGCATCTAGAAAAGAAAAAGTTGGATAAACCCAACACATGCAAGGCTCGAAATGCAACGCATCTCCAAAAGAAACCCAATGCAGAGCTGCATTGTCACCAGACTCATTCGCAAAAAAAGGAACGGTCTTACGGTGGGAAACATCATATTCAATAGAATAAATATGGCTGTGCAGCTATAGCGATAGATAACTGTAGCTAGAACGCTTAGCCTACCCAACAGATCAGCTACGATATTCTCAACAGGAACACAAACGACTGTAAAACTAACAGCTAACCACATGTTCATACTACACTACATTACATCAAGTTGCTTGGTTGCATTTTCAGTCTTCATATTAACACAGTTTAGTTTCTCACTCGGGTGTCGTGTTGCTTTCACTGCCTTCAACACCAGCGCGGTGAGACGAACCAGAACCGGGCCTCTGAGTCCAACACTGGACCAAAGTGTGGTTCAACAGAAACAGACAAAGACACGTCGAGCTCGAGTCTACTCGAGACCAACAGCCCCAAAAAAACTAAACCCTAAACTTAAAAAGTTCACTATTTATCTCAGAATCTAAAGATTAAATGCTAAATGAAAGCATAGTTTGGTAAATCGTGCACATGGATTCAGACTGCTGGTTAAAAATAATGAGCAGCTCATTGATTCTTTACAATAAATATCTCTAGACTATGTGCATCCAAGGAGATTTGTCACAAACCACTGTCATACTTTCTCAATTAATAAATCTGCTATGACGGGTGAATAAAGCTAAACAATGAGAATCTATAGTCTTTTTTTCTTAATGGCACTTACTGCAGCATGTCCTGCTTCATCTCCAAAACTGTGCAGCAAACTGGAAATACCCTCCAGAAAACCAACCAAGGCTCCTGACTTCATGGCTTTCACACCTGAAGGGTTGAGAGGAGACACTCTGGGTTCCAGATCTTACACCAGGACAACATTGCACCGGTTGAGTGTATCGTCGTACTTCCAGAAAGTACTGTGTGTGTATTTTTGAGGAAAAAGCTGATGCCTTGCAAAGAGGACGAGGTCTGGTTTCTCAAAAGCATCTATTTTTAATCAGTACTTCGAGCAGCTGATACATTTGGCACAAATCTGCAGCCAAACTGAAGAGACTCCCAGCCGAAACAATCCACATACTTTTGAGAAACGTGGCCTCGCTTAAGAATACATTCACTTTAGTACAAATACTAACAATGACCTTCTCAGTCCTCGGGGTTACATTCATTCTGTCAGTCCAGCAGTGTACACTTCATACACTGCATCCAATAACTCAGACACACACACAGATCAAAATTGAAGATGTGGTTTAGGTTTGAGCTGATGAACCTGATATCTGTACAGCTGGAAATGAAAACGCATAGCTCGTACATAAAATATTCACTCCATTGCATCGTCGCCCAAACGTCTCCTGAGCTTTCAGTCACTCAGAGCTCCACCTCTTCTGACAACATTTGGTCTTAATCAACTAGAAACAAGAGACAGAAAGAGCGAAAGCGACTAAAATATCACTACAGCAGAGTATATTCATTATTTTCTTCTTTCATTCGTCAGGCTTAGTTTCTTGCGTGGTTGAGCTCAGCTGGTGGAGTTGAATGACCAGAGATGGAAATGTTCTCGAGCATGTCGGCCTCCGGTCTCGTGTTTGACTGTCCTCGCTTCCCAACGCGTTGAATGGCATCGATGAGATTACGGTATGAAAACAGACACTGGTGCTCCTCGGCTGTGTCCAGAGTCTCTCAGTCCTGACTCCAGATCAGCGGAGGAGGTTTGGTTCAACAGTTCAGTTCCTGCAGGCGGTCGACCCACAGACTGAGAGGAAGAGAGAGGAGGTGGAGAAACGAGAGAGTTTGCTGTGTCTCACTTACCTAAACACTTTCATCTGTTCTCTTTCTGGTCGCTCTGCCCTGCCTTCCAAACACCTGCCCCTGTTCACCTGTCATCACCTCTGTCTTCTATTTACTGGTTGGGAAAACGCCATGTCGCATATCATTTATTTCTGTGCACCAATCAGAGTTCAGCAACATTTCAGTCAACATGTGATGACAATTGCTGTCAAATCTGATCAAAGTACATCTAATTTATGATCGTTAAACTCAACGTTGTTATTTATTTCATGAATGTTTTAAGTAAACACTGCCGGGCTTTAACGAACTCTCTTCTTTCCATTTCTCACTACCTGTTCCTCCCTCTCCTGCCTCTCTTTCTTTGTCTCTCTGTCTCCCCCTCCCTCCCCCAGTCACTCCTCTGTGATGGTGGGTAAGTGAGGGGTGGTGGGTGAACTGGGCGTGCTCCGTAGGTCGGGCCGGACGTTGACGCTGGAAATGGACCACACATCACTGAGCTCTGCAGAGGGAGGAAAGTCAAAAGGTTTAGAGTTCACTGGTCAAGGAGGATTGTGGGTAATACAGAGGCCATACTGGAGGAGACAGGAACAGAGGGGAGGGTGAAACACAAACGAAGGGGTGAGGTGGCAAACAGGGAGCTGAGCACAGGTAAGCACGGAGAACATACAGGAATAGAACCAGGCATAGGACAGCCATGCAGCTACGTAAATGAGATAAGAAGCCACATGCAAAGTGCCCAGTTTGTAGCGTGACACAAGAACACCTGCACTGTACTCATCATCAATCGACTGGATAAGGAGTCTTATAGAGTTTGTAAGGCTTGTTGCACTGATCTGTGACAGCACTTTTACATTTCACTAACAACTAAATGCTGTTGTCAGATGAAGCTTCTTTCCACTGAGGGTCACTGCCCTTCAGTTTCCTTCACTGGCTTTGAAAAGGAGATTCGTTTAGTCTCAACCTGACTGCTGCAGTCGTCTTATATCAAGTCTGAGTGAGCCTCTGCTTTTTTTTGTCTGCAACTGTTGCTAAATGCTGCCACTCAGCTGCTCCCAGTTACATTTAGAATTGATTTTAGGATCATATTGTTTGTTTGTAAGTGTTTAAATGAGTTAGTGCCTCTCTGTCTCTCTGATCTTTTAATTTTACATCCACAAGATCACTGAGATCTGCTGACCAGAGGCTCCTGGTTATCCTCGTGGCCAGATTAAAACCCAGAAAAGGTCAGGCCTGTGCAGTCGCTACTCCTAACGTGGAAAAAATGTGCTGCTTCACTGTTGGTCTTTTAGATGTACAGCATTCATACAAGTAGGCTCGTACAGTACAGAGAAAAGACGTAAGTATGTCAACTAAACCTAGACTATAGCTACCAAATTAAACAAATCTTAGTTATCTTTATGTGAACACCTGAACCTAAACCTGTATTTTCTGATCAAGGTCTACAAAATGACCGATTTTTTTCTACAGGAAACATAGAAACTTGGAGTACAAACAGGGTTCATGGTTCATACAGAGTTCCTGAAGGGAGGACATGCAGGGTGTCATGGGCTGAAGACCAGGGGGAGGGAGACAAGGGCTCCAGCAGGAGGCTCAGAGTGGAGAGGACTCCAGCGAACACAGATGACCTCTGAGGAGTCTGACACACACACACAACACAGACACACACAACACAACCCACAGCAGGAGGTCACTGCATGCAAAGATATTCATCTTAAAATAAAGACTCGTCTCTGCTGGTCGCAGCACAGTTTGAGCCAAGCTACATAAAAAACATTCTGGCCAATGTGGCTGTTTGCTGAGATCAATATGAACTACAGGTTTGTGTTTTCTGAAACACTGAATTTTGAAAGTACGCTCCTCATGGTGAAGTTTCCAGCTTCACACGATTTGTAATCAGACTTTTTTTTCTTAGCAGAGAGAAGCTGCTTCAGTCAAGCCAAACTAACTCTGTACTGATCAATAATGTTCTCAACTGTCTCCCAGAAACACAGTAAAAAATATTCTTTCCCAAAATGTCAGAATACAAGATGTGATCAAAAAGTCTCATCGATCCGTTACTGTCTAAAGCTTTCATTTTATAAACAGTTAAGTTTGTAATAGATGTGAATTGTCAGAGCAAAGTGAAAGAAAAAGGTACTTTATGATTTTGCAAACTGTGTCTTTGCACTCTTGTGGACCAGAAGTGAAAAATGGAAAAAGTCTTTCTGAAGTCACTTGACACAACTCTAAGTCAGTTACCTGTCTGTGTTTATGTGACGATGCAGATCTGACTTGTGCCTTACTGAGACTTTTTCCCACGGGACTCATCATGATAACCTCAGATTATATGAAGGAGTGCATGTCTGAACGGGGACTCTGTGCCAGGAGCCAAACGTCATTTAGAGAATCATCACTGGTGAGGAGTGATGAGTCTGTAGTTAGCACCCAGGGAAGAAACAGCAGCTTTCACAGAGCCCACAGTCTCCAAAACCTGACAACCTTACATCGTGAATTCAGTTGTTGTGCTGTAATGTTCTGAGACGTAAATCACCTGAACTGTGGTGTGATGGTACGTGGGTTCTAATGTGCTGCAGGCCCGGTCACGACATGTTGATAGCGCAGGTTTTTTGGCAACAGCACCAACTTAATTGTCACTCTCCAATTGCTCAACTCTCCAGATCTGGCTCCCTGTGAACTTCTCCATATGCAAGTTAAAAGGTGGCTGTTTTGACAGCAGATGGTGCTCAACACATTTACATAACAGGATTTCCAGTGAGAATTACCAAAGTCTCAGAAGACCTCGGAGTTCTGCATCACTGCCCAAGAAAACTACTTCAACAAGGATGGCGGATAAACTTATGTCAGGTACGGGTTTCTGGATTTCTATAAGCACAGACTCAGAACTTTTTGACATCATCTTGTATTCTCAGTGAAAATGTTTCAAATTCAACAATTCTTCAGAAATTTGCCTTGTACTCATTTCGTCTCGGGAAAAATGTAGTTTGTGACAAAAAAAAAGGTGCAAATGTCCTCAACATCTCATCGAGTTTGTGACAACAGCTTTTTCTTGGTTTTGTCATTCTGTCACTCAAGCATCGAGATGAGACGTCTGATTCTCTGGCTCATTAGGAACCAGACCAACCACAGTAAACAGCAAACATCAGTCAGGGTGAAGACAAGACATGAGATCTAATGAAAATGGAACACTGGTTGTTTTACGATGAAGCACAGTGACGACGGTACAGAACTAAATGTGACCTACCTGTCCTGAACTTGCTGTACGGTCCGTTCTCGTGAGTCTGGCGGCTGCCGGACCAGAAGGGCAGACCTCTCTCCCTCCACCTGAGACAGACACACAACAAACACACAGATCAGAGCAGCAGAGCAGAACCAGGTGTGTCTCTGTGTTTATCTCAGTGCTCTGAGACTGACATGTGGAGCTCTGGAGCTGCTTTGATGTGTACACTGGGCATACACGAGGACACGTGAGAGTGTTTGTGAACGAGACGAGGTCCAGGTGAGCGCTGAACAAAACCCAGCTATAAAAAGGTACAAAGGAGCGGCTGATGATGTAAGAGATGTTGGGGGGAAAACTGAAAAAGTAAAAATAAAACCACAGGAGGGTTCCCTCTGTGATGAGGAGCCTTCTCTGGCTGACAGGAAAGGACAAAACTCACTGACTCAAACTCGTTTCCATATCCTGAGTCTTAAAGGTTCAGTTGGACTAAAAAACAACTTTGTACGACCACGTAGGAATGAAGTCTCATAGCTGCTCTGAGCTCTCGCACATGAAGGTAATTTTTCAGTCTCTCCTGGAAGACATTCATAGTGTTGCAATGGTTTGTACACGGAAAAAGTGGCAAAACAGTCTGATGTAAATAATAGAAGAGAGGGTTTTTCTGCTTTATTAAGTCGGCATGTGTATTCTTTACACGACTCAAATCTACTAACCTGATTCCATCATACACTGAATTCCGAATATGTTTTGGATCCCTCAATAGAAAATAAAATCACTGACAAGAGGATTTTTCTTTTTTTTTTTTAAGTACAGTGATTCACACTTGTATTTCTGACTGAAACAACAGAAGGCTTAAAGCTGAATGATATAATGGAACCGTTTTAACTCATCACTTGTGATCAACTCAGCCCACAGTGTTTCTGTAATTAATCTGTCAAAAAACACATTGTGATATAATAACTGATGATTAATGTAACACAAATAAGCAGCAGGTTGAAAAATAAATCACGTCCCGGTTTACTGGGATGTCTCTCATCTGTCTGAAGTCTGGTCACTGCGGCATCTCACATTACACAGTCATAATAAAACCTCATCAGTAGCCATGACTCAGCACTGCACAGCTTCCCCACCCCAACACCAGACGCTCCAATTAGCTGGGGAAGGTAATTATGAGAGCTCTGTGTGTGTGTGTGCGCGTGTGTGTCTGTGTGTGCGTGTGCGTACCAATGGAACACGAAAACTGCAATGATGAGGAAGGCGGACACCACATCCGTTAGAATCCACATCAGACTATATTCCTCTGGGGTCTGAACAGAGACAAAGAAGAGGTTGATTACATCTGCTGAAAAAACTCCCCTGATATCTGCTGGTTCAAAGATAAAAGACTGTTAACATGAACATCATCTTTAAAGTTAAAACACAACAATGATAACTCCTTTAAAGCAACAAATGACAGCCAAGTTTTTACGTGCTCACACAAAGCTGATTTGGCCCATTAGCTCCAGATATGTAGTTCACAGTACACTGGAATTTTAAATTTGGTTTCTGTAGCAAGATTCTGCACTGGTGCACCAGTAGCCACAGATTTTACTTCAATCGTCCACAACTGTTTGCCAGAGACTTAGAAAGGAGCAACTGGGCTGACAGAATAGGATGTTTAGCAAAGCCTATGACGAAAAACTCAAATGTCAGAGAAAATGTTCACTACAATGTTCACACTACATAAAAGAATAAACTCTTTGTTTAGAGGAAGAACTGCAGTCAAAGGGAAGGCTCACGTTGACAGTGTTTGTGTAATTACTCTAACCGCCAGGAGGGGGAGACAAAGATTTTGCAGATTTGATAAAGCATAACCTATATGATGTGGAAACACTGATGCCTATAACTGAGCACTGCCAGTTTTCACACTTTCTAACCAGTGTTAAAACCTTTACATCAGGTTAATACCTGCTTATTTTCTTTTTATTTCATCACAACAAAAAACAAAGAAATTGATCTCTTTGCTGCTAAAGTTGTGTACCTATGGCTGGATAAATACGTTAAGTATCAAACACAAGACCAAAGCAGATGTTTCAACATATGTGTCGGCTAGTTGGATAAACCAACTAATCCTAACCTTTCTTTCCGGCTCACTAAAAATCTGTCTTATCTGACAAATATGATGTGAACTTTCTGCAGGTCAGCAGGATCATAACATCGTTTGATCGGAGTTGATAACAGACTTGAGTGTGCTCACCATGAGGAAGAGTGGCTTGTTGATGTTGGACAGGATGTGGATGGAGTTGGTGGTGACAGAATGCGCTCCAGCACACCAGGCCAGAGTGTAGAGCCACGGCTGGCTGATCACGTAGAGGTTAGTGCTGATGTTCACTGACTGGTACTTCCTGTGCAGAGAGAAGGAGCAGAGAGAGGAGAAGTTTCTCAAGATTATTTTACTACTGTGCTTTAAAAATCCTGGAGGAAAACATTAAAGAAACATTTGTACTGAGACTCAGCTACATGAATAATTACAAAAACTTAAATCAAAAATAAAAACCATATTCCCTCTTGCACTGAAATCATGAAAACATCACGTTCAGCAACCATCTGCTCTCACAGACTGCTGTTATTATGAAACCCACCTTGTCTTTAATTAGGGTATAAACCTGATATGGTAACGTTCTGCTCACATCAGAATGCTTGATTTTATCTGAATGAAAACAGTCTTGATCTCAAACATAATGACACCGTCACACATTATATGTATCATGTACAATCTGAGAGAATCAGTTATTCTGTGAAGGAACCAACAAAGACACTGATCGTAATCTGGCAACCATTTCAAAGTTTTATATCAAATTTGATTACATCAGACTAAGAACCAGAGGTCGGACCGTCCCTTCATAGCTGAGAGATCATCGGTCTCAGATTTCAGTGTCGTTTTCTCTCGCTTTTTTTTTTAAAGTTTAGACATCAAAACTGTTCGACACGTTTACATACTAAAGTTTTGGGAAAGTTTAGACACTAAAATTGTTTGCTAGTGTTAAGAAAAATGTCATGGTTTAGGTTAAAATACAACTCTTTCACTACACGTTTGACGCGTGTCCTACATTTCCTGGGTTACCACGGTAACAAGTCCCGCCCCATCTAATATCTGATTGGTTGGCTGAAAAAGAGCGACAATGAAGCAACATAATAAAGACACGTTACAACCATAATCCAGCAGAAAATATGCTTGTCCTATAACATATCAACAACTGCTATCCACTGTGGTTTAAAATGTCTGAAACAAACAGCTGATTCATCAATAAGCTCATCCACAGAAAACGAACCACCAAATATTTTGATCATCAGTTATGTGATTTCTGCATCCAGCACGAAAACAAACTGAGCAAGTCCAACATGGACGAGGATGATGACACGTAAATATTTCACGTGACCGTTTCACATGTCTGTGTGCAGTCCAGAATCTGTATCTGTATTACGCTACAAGACGCAATAGCTGTCCATGTATAGAAATAATCATTTAAACTAGTAAAACAGCTTAAAGGTGCTCAGAAACTCGAGAAACTTTGCCTCAGAAGTGGTGAAAATTTTGACTTTTAATGGTTCTTTGGAATGAGTGGTAAAAAATGAAACAGAAAATATATATATATAAATGTATACTGTTTGAGTGAACAGTGTTGAATATATTGTTTATTTGACATACAGTTCTGGATATGGTTAATTATATTCACTGTTTGATGTCTGTAGTTTTTGTACCTTAAGAATTATTTGATTTAAAAAAAAAAACTAAGCAAAATGATACTGTCAAAGTGTATTTATTGGAAAACAAATACGTTCTCAGGTACAAAATGCCCTTTTGGTACGAGTGCTTTCCTTTTTGGTACGAGTGCTTTCCTTTTTCCATCAATAAAATGTATATACTGATGCAAAAGGGGACCACAGCCTCCTCTGACAAGGAGGTGAATCAGCACCTTAAAACTGATTGTGGGAACATGACAAAGTATTGTCAACTTAATACAGATTGGTAAAGTCATGTCTAATCTAAACTAAATACCTTTAAATACCAGTACCAATACTGGTCTGGTGTATGGGATCAGTACGTCTAATGTAAAGGTAAATATTTAACTAAACATAATAGGAGTATTACTTAAAGCATTCTGTACTAATGAGAGACCAAAAATGTGAGCATGGTGGATGACCTGTAATCCAAGTGAAAGGAATATTAAGTGTACATGGAAGATGTCTTGGTAGAGATCCAGCAGGCTGCAGTTTATCCATCACAGCAGGAGGAGAATGTTTCCTTCTACTAATAAATCACTGCACAGTTGCACTACCAAAGACTCACCATGTAGAAGTTTGACCATATCCTTGTAACATAATGCTCTGATTATAATAATCACACATGCAAACTGTTACCAAGCGGCGCAACAACACGAGTTATCCAACCAGCTGGTGACAAATCAACAGTAACAAGGGAGAACTGCTTCACTAGACCGTGTGAGTGGTGTTAGAAACTGTCACTCTGTGAGTCATTCAACCATCTTTCTCGCCGCTCTCTTTCCAGATTGTTCTCCCACAGCTTCTGTTTATGAACGAGTACCTCCCACTCGGTTCTCTTGTACAACTTGAGAGCCGTTCTTATCTGCCTCTTATTTAAACCTGTCTGTACCTCCTCCACGGCTTCCCCTCACTACTTTCTCTCCCATCGCTCACACCAGTTCTCTCTTCTACTGATTAACTTCCACTTTAACCAGATCTTTCTTTCCTCTCTTTCATCGCTATCTGTCCTCTCTCTCCTCACTCCTGCATCTCCCACCTGCCCTTTACCTCCCTCCCTCTTCCTCCCCTCACTTCCCTCAGGTTGTTCTACGAGCAACATGATGGAGTCACCGAGGACACGGTGGCCATCTGTATCTTGGCTTACATAACTGCACCGACACAGAAGAGACCACTTCAAAAGTTCAATGTGAAATGTCACATTTCTCTCAGTAGGTATAAACAGGGCTGCTCTGCGGGTACATGGAACTGATTGCATAACTGAGCTCCTGAATGTAACGTATGAGTGGGTTGTTATGTTCAGTTTTAATATGAATTTTTAGGCTTTGTTTAGGAGCGACAATGTCCATGTCTGAATGACATTTTAGAAAAAACATTTTGCAGTAGCTTTACTTTCTCATGGTTGCATAATTAGGAGCACATTTGCATTGTCTCCAATGTTTCACAAATATCTATTCGTTAAAGTGTTCACTGCATTATGATATTAGGATTTTTTTCATCGCTCCCTGAAGTTCATTTCATTGCATTCTTCATTCCAACAATGAGTGACTGCATACCGGATCTGTTGTTGTGACATTGTGCTGTAGTGCAGGTTCAGTCTGGTGATGTGGTCGTCTGTCAGCTCCTGAATCGAAGCCTTTTCTCCAGAAGTCTGCTGCAGGTTTGGGTCCACAGCCTGGACCAGGTCCCTGTCTTCAGAAGGCAGCCACAGCACCTAAACACAGAGATGCAATGACTGTTTTTGTAGAGCAACAGTAGTCAAAATGATTCACTGAATATCATCTAAGTCATAACAAACAAACCCACAAATACATTATATAATACAGTTTTATGTTGCCTTTCAATGTTGAACAGAACTTTTTGTACACATCAACCACGGCCAGGTACCTGTGAGGAGTTGATGTGGGCCTGTATGACCTGCAGAGTGGTGTTGATGTATGACTGACTGTACGGGTGTCCGTACGGTGGCCTGCGTAGGTCAAACAGCACTAGTCTGCCGGTTCGGGCCGCTACGTCGAGAAACTGGACCAGCGAGGGAACAGACTGATTCTGGGCCTGAGAACGGTCCGACTCAGACAGGGACGACACAGTACCAAACGGATCCCTCTGTAAGAGACAAGTGAGTGATGCTGAGTAATAAATATTATGCTTCGTTGTTGTGAGGATTCACAGAAAAGAGCTGTAGTTTTAAATTTCTACTAAGTTAACTAAAATCAAATCAAGTTTATTGTCATGCTGCTGCACATACACAGTAGTACAGGCAAGATGAGAGAGCCTTTCTTCAGGATCCAATAACTTGAAGCAATTTAAATAAAGAAGTGTTTGCATATCTGGATCAGCAGTTCAGCATTCTGACAGCTTGTGGAATGAAGCTGTTCATCAGTCTGGAGGTTCTTCCTTTAATACTCCAGAAACGTCTGCCTGATGGCAGCAGTTCAAACCGTTTATGGAGAGGGTGTGAGGAGTCCCTGACAATGTTCTGCTCCTGCAGCCATTTTGGAAAAGTCCTTAGACAGAGGGGAGGGAAACTCCTATGACCCTCTCAGCTCCTCTGACTATCCTCTGCAGGGCTTTTCTGTCTGACACACTGCAGCTGGAGGACCATGTTGAGATGCAGTATGTCAGAATGCTCTCCACCACACCTCTGTAGAAAGTCCTGAGGATGCTGGTTACTCCTATAAACTACTATAGTTTTCTGCATGTCAGTAATGAACTAGTTGAGTGACAATGTAAGCAGCATTTGGATGAACAGGGGATTCAAATTTGTAATAACATTTTAAATGATGTGCTACCCTAATTTCAAACTCAAAATGCCAAGAATGAACCCAGTACACACAGTGCAATGTTGAGACATCAGGGCTGTGTTTGTTAGTTACACATAGCATCCGCGTTACTTACATGCGGTCATTATATAAATCGGGACTTTTAATTTTCAGGTTTTGTTTTTGGTTAAATGCATCATTTAGCCGCTGAAATGACATAAAACTAGCCAGCATCAAGTTAACATAAAGATAATGTTTCTTCCAGCAGCCACGCTCTGTGTTGTGTGTGCATGTGTCTGTTGGTCGCACCGATAAGAACCAGCCGCCAGCGTCCAGCTGCTGCAGCTCAGCCCACGTGAACATGGAGGCATCGAGGTGTGTGCGGTTTGGAAAAACCTCAGCAACATTAGTCGTCCTCTTCAGGGTGGAGTCATGCATCAGGAAGGGAACACCATCGTAACTGCAGACAGGGATGAAAATATTTAATGAGTGCCAACGTTAGGAATGAATGGAGGGAAAAGGAGAAGAAAGCAGGGAGGAAGAGTGAAACACAAAGGAGAAGTAACAAGGGAAGGAAAGCAGAACAAATAAAAGACTAATTACGTCCTGCTCTCATAAAGTCGTGTATCTTGTTTATGAATATCACACAAACAACCAACCTGACAGAACCTGTCACCTCCATCAATCACACAGCTGATCTCAGTTACGTACATGACCATAAATGCAAATACACACACACACACACACACACACACACACACACACACACACACTTTAATAGATTTCCTTACAAAACCCTCGACAGTCTTAGTCACACAAGAACTTCCAAGAAGCCTCAATCCTTAATGCAGACCACACAAACACACACACTGACACACATTTCATTCCTACACACAGAAGAACTACAAGACTCACCCAGGTCACTAGCAGCATGAGATTAAGCTAACCCGCTAATGTTGAGTCATGCTATGCTGCTAATCCCTGTTTTCAGGCTGTAAAACAACGTTCAGAATCAAAAGCTGCGGGCTAATGGCAGGGCTAACGGCTAACTGGATTAGCATGGCAGTAATCACCTTAGCACTGAGAGCAGCACGCGAGCATCTGATCTGTACAATTAGCATCAAAACACAGACTCAGCCTGAGTGGTCTGGTGGGCAAATGTGCCAATGACCATTTCAGAGAAGAGAAAACACGTTGTGATCTGATGTCAGTAAACATATTAATGTTTTAAACAATTTCACTTAAAGATAATTAGATCACATTCAGACCACTGGACATTTTAACAGTTTTTTTTCTGTCAGCCAGACAGTCGCTAAACACGGGACAAAAACTGTCAAAAACTGCTCCAATTTCAGTGATCAAGTTTAAGCTCCTGTAATCTGAGTTTGGCCCTTAATGCAGTTACACGCAGGGCTGCCAGTTCTCACACTTATGACAGGAGACAGACCTTTCAGGCCTGAAGCCGTCACGTTGTCCAAACAAATCTCCCACCAAATCAGAGGAAACTCCAAAAACTTCCTTCATGAAGCGCTGTAGTTAAATGGGTTAAACGGGCTTGCTCTGTGTACAACACAGAGTCTGAACATCTGGGTTCTTCCTCTATATTTCAGGACCAGTTTCACTCCGTAATACAAAATTTAAGGGAGTGCAGAAAGACGGTAACGTCATCGGTTATTTATTATCCCAGAGAGAGGTGGGACAGGTGAGGATCTAGTAGAAACTAGGTATTTGTTAACACCTCAGACAGGTTAGGTGTCACACAGACTCATAGCTCATATACCATGAATAGCAAAAAATATTTGTTCTGTCCTTTCAAGTTAACTGATATGGGGGAGTTAGAACCGTTGTGTTTTCAGTTGTGACATCGTCGTCTGCATGGATGCGCTCCAAAACACACAACACTCATTCTGATAATCAGAGTAAAGAACATGACAACAGGATGCACAGAAGAGGTGACAGCGGTCGATACCTGATGGTGACGTCAGTCTCTAGTCCTTCTCCTCCAGCTTCCACTGCCTTCTCAAAGGACATCACAGTATTCTCTGGAGCAAGCTACACACAGACACACAACAGAAACGTTCCCACAGTGACTAATAAGACACACACTAGACCAACAAAGGTTAGTAGTTTTACAGCAAAGCAGGGACCCCACCGTCGCTCTGATCCACCCCCCAGAGCTCATGGTTCTTGTTTTTCACTATTCAGGCACATTAATGTGTCTCAGTGGAGATCTATTTCATGTTTACGCTGTCTTCTATTCCACACAGTCTGCTGTAACTCAGAGCGACACACCAAACAAAACTATTCACTTCAGTCTACTTCAGCAGACAGCGATCACACAAAATGTTTTGGATAACATTCTGTTCATTTATTTAACTTCATTTTTGACAGGACAGATGGTTGGAGGAGGACTAGGGAACTGGGGCTTAATATGAAAAACTTAATGAATGAATAGAGCATAATATAGTCCTGGGTAGCCAGTTCATCTTACCATTGGAGCTCCTCTATGTCCAATGAGTGTTGGTGCAGGTCCCAGGGTTCCTGCCTCTTTAATGCAGGGCGAGTACATTCCCAGGGGGACCAGGTAGAGCGAGAACAACACGGACAGGTAGAGACCCAGGACAGCCACCTGACGCACTAAATAACACAACAGCAACAAGATATCCATCAGCAACATGTTTTGGGTCCTGACCCGAAACACAGACCCTGTCTGGTGACAGGTGGGTTAGAATATAAAGAATAGAAGCTGATTGTGCTGCCATGCAGACGGTATTTTTGTTGTAGAAATAGAAGCCATGGGGCCTGTATGACTGGGAAAGTACCCAGCATATATATTGCAATGCAATAGTTTCTTTCATATAACAGAAGAAATTTAAGAAATTATCCCTTATGAGACAATTTTAGCCTTTTTTTTTCAGCTGCAACCCTGGTGACGTTAAACAGTCTGAGGAGAAAGTAAAGAACAAATATAAAAACATAACTAAAGAAGTAAGCAGGCTTTCTGCAAATCCTATGGTCTCTTAGGTTAGAAACTTCAAGGCTTTATCGCTTTATTCAGTTCCTGTTTCAGGACCTATTACTATACAAAGGCCTATAGGGCGGTGAAACTGATCTGAAATTGTTTGTAACTCTATACGTCCTCAGAGAGCCCCTCACTAACCAACATGTTAGTGGAAATCCATTATTTGATGTGAAATGTCTCGTCTTGGACGAATGATCTTAAAGGTCTGTTTTCAGCAGAACCTCGTACTCCTCCTCTCTCCCATCCAGGCCTGGGTGGGTGTTTATCTCAATACAATAAAACAGGAGAAAGCAACATTCCTCTCTGTGCTTTGGCAAATCTCTCTCCCCCTTATTTCCTGCCAGGAGAGACCCGAGACATGACTCAGCATCACTCTACCTGCTGAATCACCATGGCAACCAGGGACAGTACCCATGGAGACAAAAGACAGAAGAGAGATGCAGAGACACAGAGGTGAAAGCCATTAAGAAAGAGGAAAAGGCAGACACAACGTGAGACAAAGTGACCCAAAGTCAAGTCAAAAGAGTGGGCGGGCAGCAGCAGGAGGGGCAGAGCTGGCAGGTGAGGAGGTCAGAGTGGTCAAGAGACTAAATAAAACTGAGTAAATGAAAGAAGACACAAAGGAAGAAACAAAAAGCACAATGCATAACAAAAGCCCCTTTCAGACATGTACTCCTTTGCATTAATCTGACAGCTGTGTCAGCTTTGTGTCTGACTGAGCACCATGCTCACTCTTCTGTAAATGTCTCTACAGTAATCTCATTATGTTGGATTTGGAAGCATTTCCAGATTGCTTTCGACATGGCACAAGTCTAAACTGTTATTTTCTATTACATTCTGACTTCTTAGCTAATTTACTATACTGTGTTTGTATTACTGTGACATTATTTGTTGTTGATTATTGTTGCCTTATATTAGTGGAGGCACCTGCAAATTGGTTAATTACAAAATAATTCCCCATTTTTCAACAGTGTACACCTGGTGCTCCAGTTAAGTGAAGCTCAGGTTGTACGGATTAAGCTCCCGGTACTGTTTTAGGTTTTCTCCTGACAACAAGGTGATTAATATTCAGATGGAGCATCAAGATTGGTGCATTCTGTAAGTCTTCAAAGAACCTTTTAGTTTGATTTTGTGAATGTATCTGTACATGTAGACACCATGTTTATTAATGTGCTGAGATCATTCTGTTGTTCACCTATAAATATCAGCTGACCTGTCAGGTGACTGGTGACAGTGGTAAATTTACCTTTGAAACGTTACCCTGGGATGCTAATTTAATAAATGCTCTTCTGAGTATTAACTCTAGTGTGTGGGCTCTATTTTTCGTATGAGGAACATTATAACGTTAAAGGTGGTCAATGTGTGGAGGACCAGATGGCGTCACCTTAACGGACTCATGAGATCAGTCATTTTATGTATCCCATGTTGGAAAAGAGTGCAAAACAGTGCAAAAATGAGACATTGATTTTCTGTTGAGAGGAAGTGAGGGAGGAAAAGAAGGAGGGCAGCGAGATCTGTATAATCCAGGCCAGACGAACGCATTACGTTGCTGAGGGCTCGGTTAGATTTCAGAACAGCTTTCTTCTCTTTGGGCGGAGCAGCTCAGTTCTACTATAAGTGAACCTTTCATAATCGAAGAGCTCCAGCCAATAGGTCATTCTACAGATGTCCTTCAGGCCTTTCTCTTCTCCAGCTGCTGCTGTTACATCAATGATAGGTTGCTTGCTACTAAAAGTCTAATCTCTCTCTCTTCCTCTAGAACAATGGCATCCATTAAGTATTTTAATTCATAGAGGATCCTAAAGGGCCTGGCTAAGATGTCTGAGGCTCTGGACTGAAACAAAGAGTATTTGTAACTGGTTGCTGAAACACAATCACCAGGGCTGAATACTCTGAATAGGTTTGAGATAACATCTATTGTTTATATTATAATGATTTAACACAGTAAACAGAATTGGAGTAGTCTGTAAATATAGATAAAATTATTTTTCTTTGGTTATTATTTATTTATGAAGCACTAATTGAGCATTTACCAACTATTTATATGCTGTCCTCTTTCCATTCCACACAGATATACATATTAGATTAGATTATATGCAGTGACTTTCAGTACAGCAGTTAAGGGAACTATAGTAGTTGGAGGCCAAGAACATTTCTTATTTCTCATCTAGTTTTCCTCCAAACAGTATTTGCAGGTTATCTGATTTGCAAAACTGCCTTTCCTCACTCTCAATGCTAGCTTCTAAACTGACACTCATCAGCTTGCTTACCTTTCTTGTTCATGCGGAAGAAGTGCAATGCTATTGGCCAGGAGAGAATTGCCATTAATGAGACTGCACCCACGTGGAGGTAAGGTGCTGTCACCTGAAGATGCGCAGAGGACAGCAGGGAGAAAGACTATTAGCCAACATGTCTCAGACAAGTCACTCAACGAGTAAAACTCTTCTTACAGTTTGTATAAATACAGTATACATAGCCAAAACTCTCAACTGTACAGTGTTTAATAATGCTTGTCTGGTGTGGCAGGTGTGACTAACCTGCAGGGACAGGAGAAGAGTCTTCCATTCTTTGCTCCAGAGGTCAGACAGGATGGCGGTAGCTGTGACAGAGAACGCCAGCGTCACCACGATGCCAGTCTAAAAGACACAGGACGATGAGAAAGCGTAAGGATAACAAGAAGCATGAAAATATACAGATCTTTCCTTTTATTGCCCCTGTTTGTACACACCTTGTGGCTCCAGTGAAGGTAGAGCCTCTGACCTTCAGAAAGCAGACACACCGCCAGCACCTGAACAAAGGTCAAGTATTTATTAACATTGTTAGATGAATAAACCAACACTCTTCTATAAGGCATTTGTACCTTTTAAGACTTTAACATCAAAAACCAAAATGGTTTCTTTTTACTTTAGTATTGCTTGAAACTAGACACAATTAAACGGCACTCTATCTTGTAATTACTCCTCATATCTTCATGCTTCAGACTTCAGACTCAGATACACCAGTGTCATAAGACTTCTTACATGCCTCCTCTCACAGCAGAAAGTAAACTCGTACATGCACAAGTATACTTCACTTCATCTGGGCCCATATCTTGCATTATATAATAAGTCTTACATAATATTTGTCACCTCAAGCAAGCAGACAAGTTCCTAAATGTCACAGAAAGTGCTGGGAGAGCCAAAGGGCTAATGCGCACTTGTGCTTAATGAAACGCATTGTTTCAAGCACGCTGGTTTAGTTAGAAAACCCAAGATACAGCGCTGCTCCAAATAAACAGTCGAGTCAGGCTCAACTAGATGCTGGATGACAACTTTCTACCACTGATTACCTCTGGTTAGAAGAGAAGCAGTGAGATTAGGCATGGTGTGAACTACATCCTCTTATTAAGACATGAGCTCTGCTGAGAACGTGATTTGTGAAATTTTATGGGGTCTTTATATACTGACAATGTGGTGTTTTTGGCCATGCATTACTATTTTTCTGTATCTTCATTATCACGGATCACGTGTGAAACTGGGCTACTACTGATGTATGATTCATCCATGAAGGCGACTGAGCGCTGACTCACTTAAAAGAAGCGAGTACTACCAGCATCATGTTGGTGCTGCCATCACAAGTGTCTCATCAAATGTGGTGGCGGTGTAATATCATAAACTTCACTCAGGAAAAAATTAAATTCCTTGATGCCGACAAGCATCAAGTCTTAGTGCTTAGACTCAGGAATAGATTCAGATTTGTTTTATTGTCATTGTAACGAGTACAACGAAACGTAAGAACGCAAGGAACAATATTAAATTTAAAAAATGAGTCAAGCGGTTTATAAACGATGTAACTGAGTTCTCTGACCATAACAAAGTTCAAACAGTGAGCTCCTCTGAAAGCCGTGGTTCACGTAGTTCACACACTGAGGTCTGTACTTGTAGTCAAACAGCAAACGTTTGTCATCAACTCAAAGGTTTTCTTAACGCCTCCAGGGATTTGAAACTGAACAGCATACAGTCTGACCCCTGACTGTACAACTTGTGTCTTGTAGCTTCTGTTTTGTTGATTCATTGAAATCTTAGTGTGCGTACCAATAGTAGGGCAATGTACGTGAAGAGAGCAGCAGCAACGACCAGCAGGACCAGAGACCACGGAAACCAGAAACCGAGGGTCCCAAAGTTAAACCTGACGAGGAATAAGAAAAACAGTCACATACAGAGTGCAAAATCGACATGAAAATCAAGACATCAGCAGCATATAAGCACAACTGAAGCATTTATTGTGCTCAATCTATGCTAACTGGACCTGTGTTTGACTGCCTCTGTGGTCAGAAGCAGCTGTCTGTCTGTCAGCAGCAGCAACTTCTGACTGACTGAAAGGAGAGCAACAGGTCTACTGCCTTCACCAGACTGACTCATATCAGACATTTACTGGATAAACGAGTTTATAAAGAGTAGAAAAAAATCCAATGTGTTGTTATTTGTTGAGTAATTGATTTAATTTCCCATCTCATCACTGGAGGTAAGAAGACTCTGTAGCCTCATCTCATTTCACTAATTTCAGCCTCCTCTGTCCTCCTGCCTGTGACCCAGAATATAAATCCTGGTGTGCCATTGTGCCATCACAAAGGTCGTCTCAATTCCTAAAATGCATCTTGAGCAGAGAGGATTGAGGAGACTCGAGGATGCACAGTTGTAACCTGACTGGATCCCCAAAGGATTTTCTGCACCTGTGACACAAAAGAGGCGACACACAGCTGGAAACACAAAGCATGCTGACAGCAGGACTGATAACTGTGTGTTAATTATGTCTCACTCCCTCAGAATACAGCGGTAGGTTAAAACAGAACAACAGACAGGTGGTACAGCTGTGCCACACGCCATATTTAACTGACGTTGCTTAAAAAAACAGCTCTGAGGAAAGGAGGATTCATTTTGTTTAATGCCTGATGCCTAACCTCCTCTGCTGACATCTCTGGTTGGACGGACTGAGGCCACGTTTACACAGAGCCGGCATTCAAAAAAACAAATCTACGTTTTCAAAAACAACATCGTTCACACCAGATTGTTTTCAAAAAAATCTTTGTTTACACAAAACCACAAACAGATCGTTAAGAGCTGCTGTGAGCTGCCAGACCTATAGGGGGCAGTGTAACGAGAAGCATGAAGCCATGCTAGCCAATCAGAATCCTGGAAAAAACACAACAATGAATGAATTGTTTCCTGTTATTTCAACGATAACGCCGCGAAGGTCATTTGTTTGAACTGACAGAGAAGTGGAGCTGCTCCTCAATGTGGTGTTAGAGAACAAAACAAGTAAAATACTTGAAAACATTGACTGTAAACATGTCAGCCCAAGTCCATGGACGTAGCCAAACTGTCAACATGGTCACACACACACGACGCTGATGACGCATCTTTTGTCGCATACTGTGACGTCAAACTCCGTCTCCTCGTGTCTACATGCAAACGTAAAGACTTTGGCCGGAGTTTTCAGATATGATCATTTCGGTGACTTGTAGCTTCGTTTGTTTGTAAACCAAAGACCCACTGAAATATCACTGTTTCTGCTACGTGTAAACGGGGCCTAAGAGTCAAGGAAAGGAGCCGAGGAAAGGAATTAAGGACGTACTATTAGTGAAATGAGATGAGCTTTGTATATATGTGAAACTGGCAAACTCATAAGACACATCAAGCCTTGACCAGTCATTACAGACACTGTTAAAATGTTCAGAACATGTAAAGGAGCAGCAGATGTGAGTGTTTGAACCATCATGTCTTTTGTGTGTCTCAGAGTCAGTGTGTACCGATACATTTAGTAAAATGTAGATTCTTAAAGTTGAATGAGTTACCAACATTAAACACACTTCTAAAACATCTATGTAGACTCCTCTATTTTATTTTCTTGCTTATAGAAGACAACTAACCCGAACCCCATCATGACAGTAGAAGCAGCATGAGCATGTGCTCTGTGAGTCCTACCAGTCAAAGTCATTGTAGTCATTCTGGGCTTCACTCCAGAAATAGAGGAAAAGGAAACTCAGGAAGAAGGTGAGGATCAGGAGGCCAAAGCTGCCACATTCCACCTGTAACACACACACACACACACACACACACACATACACATACAGAAGTCATGTGCTGCTAAATTAAACAATCCAATTATGCCCCAAAAAAGTTTGTTTGTTGTATTTACATAAACTGAAGAAAATTAAAACAAAAGAATATTTTGAGGCCAAGAGCTAAAGGTTCAAGGAGGAAATAATTTAATTAGCTTTGCTAACAGAATTTATAGTCATTATCATAGCAGAAAGTCCCTTCAGTAATCATATTACCAAATGCATATGGAGGCAGTACAGCATATTTTGATACAAGCTGACACAGTAAATATACATGCAGATAGTTTTTCACAGAAACCGTAGTTACTGACTGTTGCAGTCAGCAGTCCGGACTGAGGAAAACCGGCTGGGGAATCAATACTCTCTGCATGATCAGCAAAGTAACCAAACACAACACGCTGCTTATAGATGGTGCTGTGTCGGTGTGTTTACCTTGCTGCAGCAGCACTCCCCTGGCTGCGCCCGGGCTCTTTGGTATCGTCTCCATTGGCAACCGTAGAGGCCAGCCAGGCAGGAGACAAACGGCTGGTGTTCATACCTGGTACAGTCAAGTAGAAAATGCATAACGGGGAAACAGCACTTCTCTGAATACAGCATTTACATATTCATAGTTCAAAAGACACTGAGTAGCTCATAATCTGGCTGACAACATATGACCTTTTATGACTGATCTTTTTAGAGGTTTTAAAGATAAAGTACTCTTGCACAGACCTATTGTTTAGAGCACAGTGTTGTGAAATTAAATAAATTGTGATAAAACCGAACGTCCTTCGGAGTATGATAACAGGTTTTATCTTGGATCTGACTCCATGCCGATAAAATACTCAGACGAAGGTCTTCAGCTAACATATTTCATCAAACCTTTTATGTCTTTTGCAGGATAATGACCCTGAACATCAACATAAATCTACAAAAGAATCATTTTAAACCTTTCAAAGTCACCCAGTCAGAACTCAGACGTTAACCTACGGGATGCTGTAGAACCGTTCACTGAAGGCATCCTAAAACATGGTCGAACCGCTGCTGTTCTGGATAGTTCACAACATTTACATATCTTAACTCGAATCTTTGCATTTTAGCTATTTTCTACTTGGACATCAATCTAAATAGGTTTCATAAGAGATGCAGAGGCATTCAGATGTAATAATTAGCTTTGTTACTGGACTCATTGCTACAAAACCCTGACATTAAACTGTGTTTTATAATCATACAGTACTCGCACCAACAGGTCACAAAAATAGCCCACTTTAGATGATGCATTCAGGCTATCTTGGTACAAAAAGAAGCTGTGTGACTCATCCATCTGTTCAGACGGAGTGTAGGTCGTCGTACCCCAGAACGTACCGTTCTCCACAAAAACAGTTCACAGCAAACTTTGTACATCATCCTGACTAACCAGGACGCTGTGTGGAAATACATAACAGAGCTGAGTGTTCTGGGATTGTGTGAAATGTAATGTTCTGACGGTTTAATATTATACTGAGCTACATGGTATTCAGATGGTGCCAGAAGATCTCAAAACCTTACTAACTCAAATGTGAATTCACTAGAAGGGCAAAATGTTATTATATTTCGTGACAGATGGCAAACCGTCATTCCCCACGAGTGCAAATGATTGTTCATTGTAAATAAAAGTAACCAACAGGAATGCTGTCTAAGAAAAGCTGACGATAACCACAACTCCACAGCTTGAGCAGAAGTGAATGGTATTACACAAAAGTTAGAATATATGTTAGAAGATTTTTCTTCTTTACACTGAGTATTTTTGTAACATATCAAAAGCTGATCAAGGAAACTCCACATGTGAGATCTCTGGTTTTGACTTTTGTTGTGTAACAGACACATCTCTCATTTCTAGAAGCAGCAGTCAACCTGCAACTCTGAACACACGCTTCTCTGAACATGACAAAATATATAAGCAACTGATTATTAATAGATAATTGATATAAAAATAACCGAAGAGTTTATAATTGTTTTACTTTCACAATATCGTCGCTGCCTGGTTGTGATGCTGATGTGTGTTGTTCTGTACCTTTGCAGCAGCTGCCGCCGCACCACCTTTAGCTTCCCCAGCTTCAGTCTGGTCACGGGCATAGACTCACCCACAGCCCGGCATCACAGAGTCACAGATACAGAGAGAGAGGAAGGCGGAGACAGAGGAGGGAGAGGTAGGAAGAAGAAGAGGTGACAGCAGAGCGAGGATGGAGAAGAAAAAGGTAGAACTCTTATCCACCAAAGTGATCCTCACCTAGAGGGAGAGAAGAAAGTTTGAATCAATTTAAAGTGTATTTATAGATAAACTAGACTCAGCAGGTCTGTGTGTGTGTGTGTGTGTGTGTGTGTGTGTGTGTGTGTCCTGGTTTTACTCTCGTGTCCTGCTTAAAGTAACCCAGAATATAGATATAGATGCTTTCACAGAAATACACACTGACCTATATTCAGTATTTTGACAGTTCATGCTCAACATGTGTGCGTCTACACAGTGAAAGTCTGCTCAGGTGATTTATGAGACACACAGAAATACCTGTCCCATACGATCTTTGTTTACACTAATTTATCACTCCATATCCAGAGACACCTGACCTTTCACTGACTCCAGTAACGCTATACTTAGACCAGTCAGTAAGGCAACTTAACCGACCTGAAAGCAAGTCAGCCAACAAACTTGCGACTTATCCAGACAGCAGCAAAGTCCACACTAAAGCTGAACAGTTTTCTAAATGATTGGTTGAGCAATAGTTATGATAGTGTATTAATCAGTCATCGTACACATAAGAACACTGGCTGGATAAAAGAAGCAACTGTGAGTCGTTTTCACTTTATTTACATTTTACATAGATGACTAATTTTTTCTAGAAAATAAGATTGATGAGGAAAGTTGTCATTAGTTGCACAGAAACTTTTTCCTGTCGTAACACTTATTAGATATGCTGCTGTTTTGATGACGCTCATTTCAAAATGGGTTTTGCGCAACATGTTTTGTTGTAATTTTAACATATTCATATGATTCATATAATTTCTCTTCTCCTTGAAAGTAGGCTAAACCAGAAATGACAACTAGCGCTAAAAAAAATCTGCTACTGTCAGACCCCAACAGGCTATTATGTGCAATTAGTTTTTTTATTAGTCGTTTTTCCAAAAAAGAACTTAAGCTGTTTCCTTCAAGCTGTCTCTGTAACACCTCAACAGCAGACAGGGTTAATAATAAAAATAGTTATGCAACAGCTCTACATCTACTGCTCTACTGAACTAAATACCACAGAAAACAACAATCAGCTGGCAAACTGGCGACACAGGCCGATTAATTAATCAGGCAATATATCAGCTGATTAGTCGGGTCCCTCGAGGTAACGGCCCACCTTGGCTCACGTCACATCAAGTCCCAAACATAAGTTCATGCGACCTACAACAAATACAGCCTGACATCGTATCAAGATCATCACAAGCTCATCAAACTTTCACGTTTGCAAAAATGGTCATTTTATGAAACAAATAAAATGTCAAATTAATTTGACATTGAAGTAACTGTGGCGTCTTCAGATTGATAGTTTTGCACAATCAATAAAATCTACAGATTTTAATTATATATTGGAACAGGATCGTTTTTGGTATTTTGCTTGATGAACAATTTAAAACAGTTAACTAGTTATAAAAACTGCAGAAAGTTATATTTTTTTAATTGACTGAGTAACAATTTAAGTTGTTTGAGTTCTAAAATGAAAACATCACTTCATCCTAATGACAGACAGACCCAGTGAACCTCAGAGCATCCTTTGATCCTGACGTGTTACAGACCCAAATAGGTGGCCTAAATCTACTTAATGTAGGTCCAACAGCAGCTTTCAACAGTGTGTCTGAGTTAAGAACAAAGAGGTCAGCAAACACTCTCCATTATAAATGCCCTATTGACCAGAGAGTGAACTGGTTTAGTTCAGGACGTATAGTTTCAGTACCGACAAGCAGATTAGTGATGCTGGAATTGTTTTTTTCCAATCCTGGTATTACTTCACCCAACATGAGCACTGGATGTATTAAACGGGATATAGACGTCGGGGAACAGACGGTTGGTACGCTGGTAATGCACAGTGTTAATCCTAAACACACTGACTGTGTGTCTCCAGTACATCAGGACTGAATAAGTGTCTGGTTCTGATTAAAAACCCAACATCATGCAGCTAAACTGTTTAAAAGAGTTTGTGATATAAACTTTTATGCTGCTAAATGACAGATTAGTGCCGTTTCTGTGCAAACACACGGCCAGCTTCTGAAATTAGCTTTTTGGGTCACTTTATGAAATAATTACATTTAATAATTACGTAAGATTGTTGACCTTATGTAGGAAACTCGAGTATAATTGTGAGACTTGTCTGAAGATGGAGAAATTAGTTATGCTAAATGTAGCTCTGCTAAATGTTTTTAAAGGGCTGGAGGGTATTTATTGTAAACTTTAGGAGCTCCCATGTGGTTTGAGCACATGAAACTGCCACTGACCTCCCATGCTTGACTGTTTCATCACCTCATCATCTCACTCACCTATAGCAATCGCTACCTGTTCATTTCTGTTTTCCTTCCCATGTATTAATTATTTGTCTTTGAATTCATTGCAGTCACATCTGTAACTGTCCTTTCTCTCATTAAGTAGCTACTTAGGATGAAGACTTAATCACAGCAGCTGGTTTTCCATTTTTGAATGGACTTGTTTTTGGATCAGGTCAGACAGAAACAGGTGTTTTTAACAGCAGTAAACACCTGTCGTGTGAAACTCTTAATTAAGAGACATTCAGTTGAAACTGGCTCAGATTTTTAATCAAGTTGGGATTTGTGAAGTATAATCAATTTTCAGCCATTAACTAAATTAAATCTTTAGCCTCATCAGTGTTTTTGGGAGCATCATCAAATCATATGACACATTTAGAACATGGTATATAATCAGTTCTTATTTAAACCAACTGTATTATAATGGATTCTAGCCTAATCCTGCACACCCTGTACAGTTTGTCTCTGTGACTGAAGTCGGCCACCAGACGACCGAGCTGATTCAACCAGCCAAGTTATCACACAGCTGCCATGGCAACTGTGACATCAGATCTGTTATTATTACTGCTGTGAAAAGGATGAGGGGAGGTGGGCTAAACACGAAAGAACCAGATGGACCGATAAAAGGGGAAGACTGAAGAAACGACAGGGTGAAAGCGTGAAAATTACGATCAGGCGTCATCAAAGCTGTTATGCAGCAGACACAAAGCCACACATGTTCTGCAGGGTGAGACGCACTCGGCTCAACGTGCACTGGGAGAAAAGTGCACTGTAGAGTCTGCATACAGTTGCATAAAGTAATACGAGATATGAAATCCAGAAAGAAAGAAATCCACACAAAAAAAGAAGATGGCATAAAGTGAGTGAAATCAGCACCCACATGCCGACATTCAAGCAAAAAGCAAAATAGCGAATGCCTATTGTGATGGAAATTTCTAGTGAAAAATAATGTCAGCCTGCAGACAAGTCTAATCTGTGACTGTGAAATGGATCTAACAAAATGGAAGGAAGGGCTGGAGGAAAGGGTGAAACATAATATTTATTAAAGCAGATTAGGAGACATGTGAAACGGGTGTGGACAGCGTATGTGACACAATAAAGATTTTAGGTGCAATAAGAAAAAAAGACACAAAACTATCTGATGAGAGGAGACAAGCTGGGTTCAACCAATAAAGTCAAAAGTTGACATTATTTCTAACTTGTGTTTTAGGGCCATTACTTTTATTCCTATTTTAAAATGTACACATCTTCTACCTGCTTCTTCTGATCACACAAACAGAGCACATCATGTGACACTTAAAGTGACCTCAGAGAAAGCTGTTTGGTCAGGTGTGTTTGGTCAGTGAGCAGATGCAGGTGTCAGAGTGTACAGACCAGAATATTTACTCCCCTCACTGTTCAGCACAGGCTGTTACTCAAAGCACAGCAGAGAGTTTACTAATGCTCACTTCATGATGTTCTTGACACTGACGAGGTACAAAACTCTGGGCAGCAATTTCAGATTTGCTTTCAATTAATGTTATGAGAGACAAGCTGACTGATGCATAACTGGACAAAAGAAGTGTCGGATTTTGGGATTTATGCGTTCCAGCTTTGGATCCAAATTCTGTGCCTCCATTGTGTTCAGTGATGATGATGGCAGGTGTTCAAAATGTCTCCTTCACACTGCAGTCACCCTCTCTCTACATACAACACAACCAATATGTGTTTTAGCACCAAACTCAAGTCAACTCACTGACCTGCCAGACATTTCTGACACCTGATGAGAATGTTTCTCTCCTGTCAGTACCAGTGTAGCTTTTAAACTGCTTAATAAACTATGAGTCTGATCCTAAAGTGGGTCAGATGTATGACAGGTGGTGACATGGACGGAGCACTGACACATTTAAAGGATCCTCTGAGCTCCTGAGACAAAAAGTTGAGTGCATTTCTTATATTTAGGTTGAGAAAGTTGCTGACCATGAAGTGGGGGCACAGACAAAGATAGCACAGAGGAAGGTAGGAAAAAAGAACCAGAGAAGACCACGAACAGGTGAGACGAGGACAAGATGTTGGCGATTAAAACACGCCATGATGCCACAGAGGGTTCTGAACGTATCTGTCAACCTTTGCATCAATGCATTCGCTCTCAGTCCATCTATTTTCCCGACGTCACTGTGCCTCTCGACATACTTTTTCTCCCCTTCCACCTGTCCATCTGTCACTGTTCCTCCTCCTCTCTCTGGACACTGGCCAGGACCTCAGCACCTTGACATCAGACTGGCTGACTGGGACACCACTCTATTCAGCTCTGTCTTTACACAGAGAGACAAAGTCAACTAAGGTCATCTGCCCACACACTTTTCTATTTATATATGTGTGTATTTATAGATAACGGCATACATTAAATCAACAAAGACGTGAAAATGTTCTATGGTCAGCTAAAACAGTTCATTTACTCCAGAGGTCAAACGTAAGCGTGAAAACTTGTCAGCTATTTTGAGAGCACCAACTTATTGATTAGCTACTTACGGGAATTAACAAAATGCCACTCAATGTCAACAGTTTTTTGGGGCTGC